GAAATTGAGGAAGCTGTTGAAGTTTTTGACATATTTCTCCCCAGTGACCTTGAAAGAAAGTAAATTTGAGGAAACTTATAGCACTCCATCCGAAGTACCTCCAGGCTAAATGTGATGATTCTGAGCCTTGTGAAAATTCAGAGGATTAATATAGATTTTCATCCATTATAGCCAGTTCTGAAAGTTGACCCGGCCAAGCACTCAATATTGACCTTTGACCTTAACACAATATTTGGAAAACTTGACATTTGGTTTAGTAGATAATGTTGTCTGCAGTTTCTTACACATTTGACACCCAATCCTATGACCTTAAAAGTTGGGTCAATGTGATTTATATGAGGAAAGCACTCCATCCAAGGTACCTACTGGCTAAAATTCTGATTCAGGGTGTTAAAGGATTACCCATGCTATCCATGTGGATCTTTGACCCTGGACAGTGCTCAAGTTGACCTTGACCACCTAAACACAACATATGTATAAAGAAATATATCATACCGATTGCTATGAGATATATTATCATACTTAAATCTAAGAGGTATAAATATTGTATACAAGCAAATTTTCACTGCATTTAACCTTTACTCTCCTCAATAAGTGTGAACTTATCATGACAGCAAAGATCAGAATACATCATACCACAGTTATATAAGTAGTACTTACACGTGAAGACATCATACCACAGTTATATACATAGTACTTACACTCTAAGAGCGAGTTTAACACTTGGGCAAATATGAATTTTATTGGTGAAGAAAGAATATTCAACAGGGTGAAGATTTTTTTTGTTATAAACATATATTGATATGGAGTTACCAGGACTGTCTGGGACAGTAATTAACCAGAAAGGGGTACTCACCAGAACGGGGTACGGGGTACTCACCAGAACAGGGGACTAAATAGCTTTAGCATCAACAAGGAGTTAGTTACATTTCTGTTTGTTTAAACGATCTTATACAGTTTACTTCTATCTTCATATAATTCAAACCTGTCAGGCTAGAAGACAAGTTTGAGCGATCAGATATTGAAGTTTTATAAGGATAAAGAGGACTAGAATCAGTTAGGAGTTCGAAGGTCTTTCTGACTAAGTCTCCTTCCAATGGTAAGATCCTCAGCCTGGCGGAACGGCCATTAACAGTCATTAGTTTTCACTTCATCTTGGAAAATGTCTCGAAAAGACAAAAATAAAGGTTTTCTACGAAAATAGTAGTTATAACACAACACTGTTCAGACATATGCAGTAATAATTTATTGCATGACACCTTATTTATTCATCAAGTTATGAATATTGTGACAATACCAATTGACCAATTGGGTAGTAGGTGCAACCACATGTACACACATCCCATTCAGCAGCCAAACAAAATTGGCACTTCTGACCACTAAACAGCCAATCAGAATTGACAATACCTCAACTGACCAGTGGGAGAGTAGCGTGCAAGTCACATGTACACACACATCCATTCAACAGCCAATCAGAATTGAAGCATTTGTTTACAGCACCATCTACTACTGTACATCCTGTACTAGGGGCAGATACCTGCTACATGTTTACAGTATATATACAGGTACATAAATATATCTACACATCTCTGTACACTCCCGGTTTATACATCTACATACAGCATCAATATCTCGTACACGTCTTAGTATCGCATAATATACATCTTATGTCTACATATCATATATCTATATATATATATATATTTAATATGGTTATTCAATGAGTAAAAATATACATTTGGTGTGTTTTATTAGACATCCACAACTTGCAGTGCAGAATATTGGAGGCAAGGCTTAGAGATACAACACTTGTCCCTTCCACATAAGGACCATCTAAAATACAAAACAATGATTTATACAGAAATTCCATTTAAGTGTTCACTGTTTACATTCTTCCCTGGTAAGTTGTAGTCAACAAACAATTTGAAGTGAAATATTTTTTCTTCTTTTAAATTTAAGAGGGCAGAATATACCTGTAAGTATATAATGGCTGTTCAGTCTTAACCGGTAAGCCAATCTATAGGATTTTACTTTGTGAAAACAAATAGCTGATAAAAAATGTTTTAAACAACAGTATAGGATCATTATAGCAAGTACTTTCTACAAGTTAGCTGTCCCCACTAGAACACATTATAACACATACAAAGGTCTCTCTTATGTGGAGGGGAGACTATATCACTGGACAGCAGGGGGAGAACTGTTTATTACTAGACAGCAGAAGTGAATAGAATAAAATAAATGACACATATTGTTTATCAGAATGAGATCTTAAATCATCCAGCTATCAATAACAAGTCTGTCTACATCATATACACATATTCTTATACATATCAACACAAAATTCTTAATCAAGTGTATCAACGTCCAGTGACCTAGTCACAGTACGGTGTCTTAGTCACTGTACGGTGTCTTAGTCACTGTACGGTGTCCTAGTCACAGTATGGTATCCTAGTCACAGTACGGTGTTCTAGTCACTGTACAGTGTCTTAGTCACAGTACGGTGTCTTAGTCACTGTACGGTGTCTTAGTCACTGTACGATGTCCTAGTCACAGTATGGTATCCTAGTCACAGTACGGTGTCCTAGTCACAGTATGGTATCCTAGTCACAGTACGGTATCCTAGTCACAGTACGGTGTCCTAGTCACAGTACGGTGTCCTAGTCACAATACGGTGTCCTAGTCACAGTACAGTGTCTTAGTCACAGTACGGTGTCCTAGTCACAGTACGGTGTCTTAGTCACAGTACGGTGTCCTAGTCACAGTACGGTGTCTTAGTCACAGTATGGTATCCTAGTCACAGTATGGTGTCCTAGTCACAGTATGGTGTCCTAGTCAAAGTACGGTATCCTAGTCACAGTACGGTGTCCTAGTCACAGTACGGTGTCCTAGTCACGGTATGGTTTCCTAGTCACAGTATGGTATCCTAGTCACAGTATGGTATCCCAGTCACAGTATGGTATCCTAGTCACAGAATGGTATCCTAGTCACAGTATGGGATCCTAGTCACAGTATGGTATCCCAGTCACAGTATGGTATCCTAGTCGCAGTATGGTGTCCTAGTCACAGTACGGTGGCCTAGTCACAGTATGGTATCCTAGTCACAGTACGGTGTCCTTGTCACAGACCATGTGTCTAAGACAGCACAGACACTTACTACATGTAGACCATGTGTCTAAGACACCACATCCACTTACTACATATAGACCATGTGTCTAAGACAGCAGACACTTACTAAATGTAGACCATGTGTCTAAGACAGCACAGACACTTACTACATGTAGACCATTGTCTAAGGCAGCAGACACTTACTACATGTAGACCATGTGTCTAAGACACCACATCCACTTACTACATATAGACCATGTGTCTAAGACAGCAGACACTTACTACATGTAGACCATTGTCTAAGACAGCAGACACTTACTACATGTAGACCATGTGTCTAAGACAGCACAGACACTTGAGAGACGTTAACAAACATGTCTAACAGTTAGATTACCCTATCAAACATAATAACTTATATATGATCATTAAAAGCTTGAACCATACAGTAAGTTGGAGAGATTTAAGGAGCTTTAAATTCCTATTACATACATAAACATGTATAGTTGGAGCACTTTTGAAACATTTTTCAATTAATCATGTATGCAACTACTGTCAAATAATCAAACTTAATCTGAAATAACATCCCTTCAAAATTATAACAAGTTTTACAGGAATCCTCTCCCTCTCACAAAAAAACTCCCTTTATAAACAAGAGGCCCATGGGCCTAAACGGTCACCTGAGTCCTACAGTATTTATTTTTGTTGTTGAAATATGTACCAATTTGAGTACAAAATAGTTAAGTATAACGTTAACTTAAGTTTGTCAGGACCATGAGCTGATCCTTCCTAGACCGAGTTTCAGTTAAATCGGCCTATTAGAACTTGTTTTTAAGTTTGAAATACTTTTTTCAAAATGGCGGCCGTGGTGGCCATATTGAATTTCTGATCGACCCGAAAAATAACAACACTTTGTCAGGACCATGAGTCGATCATTCCTACAAAGTTTCAGTTCAATCAGCCCAGTAGAACTTGACTTTAAGTTTGAAATAGTTTTTCAAAGTGGCGGCCGTGTCGGCCATATTGGATTTCTGATCGACCCTAAAAATAACAACACTTTGTCAGGACCATGAGTCGATCATTCCTACCAAGTTTCAGTTCAATCAGCCCAGTAGAACTTGATTTTAAGTTTGAAATAGTTTTTCAAAATGGCGGCCGTGTCGGCCATATTGGATTTCTGATCGACCCTAAAAATAACAACACTTTGTCAGGACCATGAGTCGATCATTCCTACCAAGTTTCAGTTCAATCAGCCCAGTAGAACTTGATTTTAAGTTTGAAATAGTTTTTCAAAATGGCGGCCGTGTCGGCCATATTGGATTTCTGATCGACCCGAAAAATAACAACACTTGGTCAGGGAGATGTCAGTAACCTTCCCATGAAATATTAATGAAATCCCTTTGCCAGTATTTTAGCGTAAGTTGAAAATGTAAAATGTTAACGGACGACAGACGATGGACGACGGACGAAGACGGATAGCAATAGGTCACTTGAGCTCAGGTGACCTAAAAACATTGAAAAACAAACATAAAATTAACAAAATAAGTCGAAGATAATACAATATGTTTTCTCATTCACAACCAAGCACATAGCAAACAGTTACTGTACATATACTTTACATGACTAGAGGCCTAAGTACCGGTAATACTGTCTCATCAGTATTAGGTACTGTCACTCCAACACGGGCCAGTCTCTTCACTGACCAGCTACTTTATAGTACACACTGTCCAATCATAAGGAAAGCAGTACATTTCTCTCTCTCACATGTAGCTTAAGGGGAGTAGGGAACCCCAGCCAATCAGGAACTGTGTTACAAAACCTGTGTGATTGCTGCATGTATCTTGGTGAATCTAGCACTTGCTGATTTCATAAATAAACTACTTTTTTTTTTTACTGTTAAAAGGTCATTTCATTTTACTAAAAGTAAAAAAGTGTTTATCACACTATCAATAAAAAGATTATGTGATAATGCTAAAGAACTCCACAAACATATAAATATGTGCTACATAAATAGAGGAATACGTTAGGTTTACTTTTTTGTGAAACTCCCCCGAAAAAATCATCCATTTGGAAGAAAATCATCCATCTTAAGAACGTAGTTTCTGTGTTAGTGATAAACCTCTCTGAAGGATACTGGACACTAGGATTATTGATTTAATGTCTGTTTAGGAATGATACATATGGTCATAGGACAGCAATGATTTTGTATATACAGGTTGTAACAGAGAAATAAATACAGGCTGTAACAGAGAAATAAATACAGGCTGTAACAGAGAAATATAAACAGGCTGTAACAGAGAAATAAATACAGACTGTAACAGAGAAATATATACAGGCTGTTACAGAGAAATATATACAGGCTGTGACAGAAAAATATATACAGGCTGTACCAAAGAAATACAGGCTGTACCAAAGAAATACAGGCTGTAACAGAAAAATGAATACAGGCTTTAACAGAAAAATAAATACAGGCTCTAACAGAGAAATAAATAGTTCACAACACATTATAGTTTAGAGATCATTGAATACTACACCTGATTAATGAAAAACATCTCAATAGGCAGGTTTTGTTTGAGTCTATTTATAGTATGTAGTAGATAAAAAGTGACACAGTAGATAAATATAGTCTACAAGTTAGATACACACTCTACAAGGTACATATGTTGCATCAAATAATTTCGAACTTGATAATAATTTTCTTTTACAAGGTAAAAGATTTATCTTAGCAATATATAGAATCAGACTGCTACATAGGCATGCTAATTAAAGTCAGATAAAGGTACATGCAGGAATGCAGGCAGGTGTACATATCAAGCTCCGTCATATTGGCAATGCGCTGACCTTGATGTCAATTTGACCTTGTTGTCAACATGACAGTGAAATGTTAAAATCAATGTTACAGACACCTTGAATACAACACTGACATCAACTTAACTTCTGGCATCATGACCTTGATCAGGAACACTTATATAATGCATAAAGGATTCATTAAATCACTGGAGCTCTCTATCTACATATATATACATATACAAAACATAAAATGCTAAATTCTCATTGCACAATTACATCTCCTCTCCACCAATGACAGGAAGGAAAGTGTGTTACCACACACACACACACACACACACACATTCTTCCTATCACCATAGTAACCACACACTTCCTTTACCAGCAAACACACCAAAGCAGCCATTATAATATTTATCATGAAGTTATTATAATTCAATTAGAAAGCTTGTAAATATTTACAAGTTTAAAAGAAGAAATGAGCTGGTATAGTGATTATTTGATGTTATATGGATAATAATGTCGGTCTCAATAGAAACACAGTGGGTAAACACTCAGATCTAAGTCTACAAATGCTAGAGTATGTTGTGACATTTAGAATCAGGCAGACACAGCTACACCAGTACATAGTGTACATCTTCATTGCTAGCTACACCTGTACATAGTGTACATCTTCATTGCTAGCTACACCAGTACATATTGTACATCTTCATTGCTAGCGACACCTGTACATATTGTACATCTTCATTGCTAGCTACACCAGTACATATTGTACATCTTCATTGCTAGCTACACCAGTACATAGTGTACATCTTCATTGTTTAAGACAAACAGCTAGTAGTTGATGTAATATTGTTTCCCTGTCTCAGCTAATGATAACTTATATGGTTACATGGGTACTTATGTTTAAATTGTCTATAAAGATGAAAACCTCTTTACCTATATCAATAATGTTTACCTATATCAATAATGTTTATCTATATCAATAATGTTTAATAAGCCTGAAGTCAAACTAATCCAGCTAATGAAAACGAAAATGACTGCTTGGTTTTAAAAAGGATTTGATAATCGTATAATTCATGCTTTATATTAAACTTACAAAAGTTTAACTCCAGCGTGGATCTCTCTCAACAAGATCATGTAGGAGTGTGGGGTAGAATAACTCAGTATAAGGTAGCCATTGACATTACATCAGATGTAACAGGAAACCCAAATCCAACCTTCCTTCAGTCCAAACAAATATTTTCAAAAATGTGAATATTTAAACTTGTGATATGAACACATGTGGTAAGATAAGCTAAGGTTTAACAGACAATTCAGAATGTGCTTAGAAAACTCTGAATATTTTAGGATTACCACAGTGCGTCATCAGTTTCATTAAACGTTTTTACATATTCTACAGAGTGTGGAACATTCACCATTGTAACAGAGATTATGTCACAGTAACACAATATACTGACTGGTTCACAAAGACACGAGGACACCGGGACACCAGCCCCAAGCTTTGACAGGGTCGCGAGGACACCGGGACACCAGCCCCAAGCTTTGACAGGGTCGAGAGGACACCAGGACACAAGCACTAGACTTTGACTGGGTCGTAAGGACACCAGCCCCCAGGCTTTGACTGGGTCGTAAGGACACCAGGCGCAAGCTTTGACAGGGTCGCGAGGACACCAGGACACAAGCACTAGACTTTGACTGGGTTGCGAGGACATGACTGGGACATAAGACATGAGCCCTAAAGATATGACTGGGTCGCGTGGACCCCAGCCTTCAGGATTCGACTGGGACATGAGGACCCCAGCACCAAGGCTATGACAGTATAAACCTTCTATATGATATGATGTTGTTTTGAAAGACAAAGTTCATTAGCTTGGCCAGATGATACCGATAATGATTACAATTGATGCTTTTTTTTGGGAATAAACATGAGGATGACATGAAGTATAATTAGATTTTGTAATCAGCATCAGATGATGACCTGGAACTTCTCACGCAAAGAAAACTTTAAAATTAAGCAGGCCAGCATGTTACAGTGAATATATTGCAAATGTCCTGTTATTAAAAGTTATTATCATGGCAATTATAATCAAGCTAAATTATGCATATAATATGAAAATATCAGCGGATAGGAAATCTGATTAGCTAGCTGTAAGTGAACTAGATTGGGCAGTATATATTGTGTGTTACATAGCTACTCCTCAATCCTTCATTGTTATAACTCCAGGCTGTAAACTTGGGCAGTATATTTATATCTGATACTACAAAACCATATTATATCATGTGATAGTAAATCAGAAAAGAATCTTAATAGTTGAGTTTTAAGTCAAATAAATAAATTTTATAGCTAACTCTGGCAGTTAATGAAGATTTCCAACCAGGTTTTCATTAATTTCACTACAGTGCTAATGTTATTATGTTACATGTATATGCGACGTTAAATAAAGCTTCTTGAATCTTGAATTTCTAAAGGAAGTCAACATATTGTACCATAAAATGCTGCTTACAAATAGAATATAGGAATGACCTCTCTTACTATATGAGATAAATATTACTAACAATCAGTATCGTTCAGGTCACCAACATCATAGAGTACAATATTGGTAAGCAGTACAGCTGCTCAAAGCTTTATAACAAAGTCCTATTGGTGTCCTGGAGAGGAATATAGTATGGTTACTTTCTTTAACATCAAACTCTATTACATCAAATTTTGCCTTTAAGTTATATCTTAGGTCTTCTGGGCTTCATAAGAATTGTGCTATACTTAAGATAACTGTCCATGTTGTTGAGTCTCCTGGGTTCATTAGACTGTGCTATACTCCATATACTGTAGCCTTTAAGCCAGTGTTTAGGTGTCAATAGTTTCAGTACAATATGATATACTCTGTATAATCTCTGTTATAGGTTTTAGGTTACTTGGGGCTTATTACAAACATGTTGGTAGTTGGTCTTTGTCCTTGTTTGATAGTAATATCACTTGTGGGTAGACATCCCATCACAATATAGAATAGACCTCAATTTTGTATTCCTAGGAAAGACATCTTAAAAATTAAAAAAAATGTATATATTAATTTAGTTATCACTAACTATCAGCATGCGTAATAAAAGCTTCTATCAATTCATTCAGCCTGTCCATAATTTTGTCGCCATTGCGTCAAATATTCTTTTCATATTTTCTCACTCATTAATTATAAGCTTCAACCATAACTGCCAAAAAATATCCCAGAAAATGTACATTTAAAATTGTACCAATTTGCAACTGTGTACAGGGACAACTCTCTATCTGTATCACCTACTTCGCTATTCAATAATGCCCTTTAAAAGTATACATTTTTCTGTCGAATCTTTTACAGCAACCATTGCATCTTTATAATTCTACTATTTCATTAAAATTACTAAAAAGATATTTATCACTAATTAACAGTTTTACTTGCTGTACACATCACTAAATTATAAAAAGACATATAATATTATCACTTTGGCGAATTAGAATCACAGTTATCTCCCCTTCCTTAAACAGATCTGAGCTGGTATTGTGGCAATCAATGGCTTTACTGATTCCCACTTTACTGTTAATAGACGCTTGGCCTATGACAAGAACGATAGAGTTGTGTCCCCTTGACACTATTCATAGCCACATTCTCCAACCAATCTGGAGGTAGTCACTACACCTTATTCTACCTGGATAATATTGCTGGATAATTTGACACAGCTATGTATTGAAAACATCTCCTGTCGTATGAATATGAAGAAGTTGTTCAGTTATAACTCCTGTCGATGCTCACAGATGACACGAATGTAATTGGTTGCTTATGTAACATGATTTTTTTTATCTTGCAGGTCTTGTTTAAAATGACTGAAGAAAACATGGGTCATCCTAGTGAATGATGTAATCTATCAGATCTACTCCCCAAGTAGGGCTCTAACCACGGACATAAGAGTCTTGTTTAGATCACTTATATCTTACACATACATGTACAGCAGCAACTGTCAACCCACACAAAACATCCCATCAAATAGTTCACTGGAGAGTTCTAAAGGAGGTTCTGGGCTGAAGAATGTTTAAATTCCACAGCTGGATATAGGGAAGTAAAATTCCAGTCTCCGGTGACTACTTCATTTAACTGCCAATAAGCCCATGCCTGGTAATAAGCCCACTTATGTCTATTGCAGTTCAGGAGAATTTCTAACACTATATCATTGCCCTATAAAAGCCCATACCCTTACTTTAAGTCAAAGATGATGTGTTGACCATGCATGGGCTTATAGGATGATAAATCAGAAATCCCAAACACTACCTATGGCAGGTAAGTCTGCTCCAATCACACAGCTGGATACATAGGACAGTGAGATAATCTACTGTCGGCCGTGAATGTTCCTTCCAACTGTATACACATGCTTAAATCACAGTAACTGTTATTGTGGAAGTCATCAGGATCTGTACATCCAACAGGAGTAATCCGACCATGGAGTTTGATCTCAGCGACTCTGAAAATATAGGCTGTGCCATATTGCGAACAGTTTGACTGAAAAGTTGATATTTATTTAGCACTGTGTAATTGTGTTGAGAAATATTGAAGATCTATTAGATGGAGAAACGTGCCGGCCCTGTGTTAGCTGGTGAAGGGCTTGAGGTGCTCCAGTTGTATCTCTAGTGCTATACGTTGCTCCATTACTTCCTGAAGCTCCTGGTTAAGCTCGCTGTTGAGGCGCTCCAACATCGTGTTTCTCTCTTTGTGGGTGCGTAATGCCATCTGTAGGTCCTTCTTATCACGACTGACTTGTCTGTAAAACAGTATAAATTGTTTCTATGTTAAATCAGAAAAACTTCAACAATCAGGAAAATTGTTCCTAATCTTAAAAAAACATACAACACACAGTACCATAAAATGTTAAATTAAGAAAATGTGTTGTTAGTATTAAAGAAATTAATTTCAAAACAAATAGTGTTCAGGTCTGTTATGTGGATTCCATCAGAAGTTGCCTGTGATAAGGTTTAGCTGGAAAATTCAGGTCTGTTATCTGGATTCCATCAGAAGTTGCCTGTGATAAGGTTTAGCTGGAAAATTCAGGTCTGTTATCTGGATTCCATCAGAAGTCGCCTGTGATAAGGTTTAGCTGGTAAATTCAGGTCTGTTATCTGGATTCCATCAGAAGTCGCCTGTGATAAGGTTTAGCTGGTAAATTCAGGTCTGTTATCTGGATTCCATCAGAAGTTGCCTGTGATAAGGTTTAGCTGGTAAATTCAGGTCTGATATTTGTTTTGTAGTTGTAGTTCCTGATAGAAAATTTAATGAGATGATAAGTTACATCCATATTGTGTATGCATGTGTATTGATTATTCTATCCAAAGATATATAGCACTTGTAAATCTTAAACAGATAAATCTTACCTCATAGCAAATATAGGTGCTCTCTGTTTCTCTCCACCTCCTGCCTCATCTTCAGTAGGAAGGTCGAAGGTCACACCAGGGGAGGTAACCTGCAAAAACAATACAATTGTATGAAATCTGTAAAACAAAATATCTATCTATTAGGGACGTACATATGCATAGATAAAACCTGTCAATACTGACCGAAGTAGACATACATCCTATATATGGTGATGAAACTTGTCTATATTGACCATTTATATCTAATTATACCCTGTTCAGAGATAAATTTGGCTTTTAAATTGAAATTGCTAAACTGAAGTCGACACAATTTTACCTTGTTGCCAAACTGACCAAACTAAAGGCTATACGTTTCTGTATTAACCACATAAGATTAATGCTTAACCTTGAATTCAAAAGGTTACAAATTACATCTTTATACCAAACCAACTAATTATTTTCAAACTCTAAATTTTTCTTGACAGTAATTTGTTGAATAGATTTTCTTTATTTTGTGCAGAATCCTAAGATCTTGTGACAAGCTACCGTTCATGATATTTTAGTTTGTTACACCTCAAGTGAATTTCTAGCTATTTGATTGGTTGGGAGAAAATTAAACAAAAATCACTGTCACCCTCCGAAAATACATTGGTTTTAAGGGGCACGGGTGATATTGCCATGAGACGGTGAAAAATATCACATGCGCGAAAAATGTGCGTTCACCGCTTCGTTTCCCAATCCTGGAGCTTAGCAAACAATTCAAAACCTGTAATTTCTTTCCTTCTATCATACATTTAATTTTCTGAAAATGAAGTCCATTTACATCTGTTATGATGAAAAATGCTGGACTAAATATTCTCGTTTTACTAAAGACATACATTCACTGGATCCGTCACAACTTTCTACGGCAATCACGGACAATGTTGACCGTGATTAGGTCTCCACAGTGTTAAGTTCAAGACTCGATCAACAGCATGTTAACTGTCAGCCATTTGGAATATATAATACACTGAGAACCAGAAAATGCTTAATAAATCTTGATCACATGACTCTTTTGAATTAATTATGAATCGCAAGGTAGTATTAACAAGAGGCCCAGGGGCCTGAATAGCTCACCTTCTATGTTTTTTCTTTATATGAAAAAGACCCATATTTCAAGAACATGATTAAAATTATATTTACTTATATCTACCTATATGGCCCCACAACTCTGCCCCAATGATGGCCATATCCTCCCTTTATACAAAAATTAATCCCCTTGGCCAAAAGAAGCTCCAAACTAAACAAGAAGACGCTGTCATCGATATCTTCAGCTCGCAGTGCAAAAGTCATTAAAACATGAAGGGTAAAATATAGGTCAAAATCAGCATCTGCAATATACATTCAGTAGAGCAACCCTAGATACACAATTGATGCAAGTTTAATCAACATAATACTCGTAGTAGGCAACGGAACCAGTGGTTGTACCCACTCGGGCCTGAACCAGTGGTTGTACCCACTCGGGCCTGAACCAGTGGTTGGACCCACTCGGACCTGAACCAGTGGTTGTACCCACTCGGACCTGAACCAGTGGTTGAACCCACTCGGGCCTGAACCAGTGGTTGGACCCACTCGGACCTGAACCAGTGGTTGTACCCACTCGGGCCTGAACCAGTGGTTGAACCCACTCGGGCCTGAACCAGTGGTTGGACCCACTCGGACCTGAACCAGTGGTTGTACCCACTCGGGCCTGAACCAGTGGTTGTACCCACTCGGGCCTGAACCAGTGGTTGTACCCACTCGGGCCTAAACCAGTGGTTGTACCCACTCGGGCCTGAACACTGATAATCTCATCCATTTGGTCACTGCACTTACAGAAGTATCAGGCATCAACACTATTGTGCATTCTCGTTACGATACTTCCACACGGATTCCAACATCATGAGTTTCGTACGAGAATCTACATGTCATCAAGCCAGCAACAGCTGGTCACTGTATAAAGTCAGTTAAATTTGATGGGGAACCATTGACAAAGCTGTCACCAACATCCCAGGACGAGTTGCACAATATCATCATGACCTTGCAATCAAAGTCATGTGAGCTTGATCCACTGCCTACAGACCTATTAAAGCAATGTCTTGAAGCACTGCTTCTTTTGATTACCTCAATCATGAACAAATCATTGGCCGAGTAAAAGGTTCCATTGTGTTTCAAGAAGGCACATGTTAGACCATTGTTGAAGCCTGGAATTAACAAGTACCAGTATCAAATCTGTGTTTACTGTCTAAGTTCTTGGAGAAGGTTGTGTCCCGGCGTTTAGAGGTTCATCTCCATGCAAACAGTCTTCATGACAACCTGCAATCGGCCTACCACATGGGACGCTCTACTGAGATAGCCCTCCTACGTGCACATAATGACATAGCTTCTGCATTGGATAACAAGTGCAGAGCTGTGCTTGTCATGCTGGACTTGTCAGCTGCATTCGACATCATCGACCATGGCATACTTGATAAATGTCTGGAGTACTTTTATGGAGTGACTGATACCGCACTATGCTGGATAAAGTCTTTTCTGAGTGAACGACGACAGTGTGTTGCCATCAGATTTACAACTTCACATGACAAAGTACTAGTTTTCGGGGTTCAAGAGTCGATGTTAGGACCACGAAAATATTGCCTGTACTCCAAACCGATCAGAGAGATTTGTTGTCGCCATAGCCTTGGCTTTCATTGCTTTTCTGATGACACACAAATTTACATGGTCATCAAACCACAGGACAGTTGGAATACAGTCTCAGAAAGTCTGGAAGCCTGTCTGACAGATATCAGTACCTGGATGAACGCCAACATGCTAAAGCTTAATCAGGAAAAGACGGAACTAATCATCTTTTCCCCAAAGTGTCAGCAAAAAATGGCTTTCCAGCTCAAGGTCTGTGCCAGAACTATTGAGACTGTCCCAGCTGTTAAAAATCTAGGGGTATACTTTGATAGTTCACTGAACATGGAGAAACAAGTGAACGCTATTGCCAAATCCTGTTACTACCAGATCAGGAACATCGGCTGTATTCAGCAGTTTCTAACGGCAGATGCATGCAAGATTTATGTGCATTCACTTGTTACCTCTCGGTTGGATTATGGTAACGCCCTGCTCTGTGGTATATCTGACAAACCAACTAGTCGTCTGCAGAGGGTCCAGAACATTGCAGCAAGGCTAGTTACTCGTACTCGAAAGAGAGAGCATATCACACCTGTGCTATATTCATTGCACTGGTTATCTGTACAAAACAGGTAGCTGTACAAATGTTTGGTATACACATACAAGGCACTGAATGGAACAGCTCCTCAGTACCTACAGGAGCTTGTTTCCCTGTATCAGCCGTCATGATCACTTCGGTTGGAGTCAGAATCTTTGTTGTGTGTCCCAAAATCTCATACTGTGACCTATGGAAACCGGTGCTTTGGGAGGGTTTCGGCCACGTTGTGGAAAAGCTAACCATCTGCTATTAGAAAGTCAAATAGCATGGCCAAATTCAAGAAGGACATCAAAACTCACCTCTTCACATCTGCATTTTAGGCTCTTTGTAAAGATTTTCTAGATTTAAATATATTTCTGTAATTGGTCCCTGCTTCTTTACCCCTTGAGATAATTAACTTCCAAACCAAATTAGTTCAAAATCACATAACCACAAATCAAGGAGTAGGATTTTCATATATTTCCCCTATTTGATCAAATCTATTACCAGTCAATGACAAGTTGAACTTACCTTTACACTACCTGTCAATGCAATACTAACCTTTACACTACCTGTCAATGCTTATTTACCTTTACTTTACCTGCCTTTACTGTACTTACCTTCACACTACCTGTCAATGCTATACTTACCTTTACATCACATGTCAATGCTGTACTTACTTACCTTCACACTACCTGTCAATGGTTATTTACCTTTACTTTACCTGCCATTACTGTACATACCTTCACACTACCTGTCAATGCTATACTTACCTTTACATCACATGTCAATGCTGTACTTACCTTTAAATCACATGTCAATGCTGTACTTACCTTTACACTACCTGTCAATGCTTATTTACCTTTACTTTACCTGCCATCACTGTACTTACCTTTACTCTACCTGCCATTACTGTACTTACCTTTACACTACCTGTCAATGCTGTACTTCCTTTACACTACCTTTCAATACTGTACTAACCTTTACACTACCTGCCATTACTGTACTTACCTTTACACTACCTGTCAATGCTTATTTACCTTTACTTTACCTGCCGCTACTGTACTTACCTTCACACTACCTGTCAATGCTTATTTACCTTTACTTTACCTGCCATTACTGTACTTACCTTCACACTACCTGTCAATGCTTATTTTACTTTACCTGCCATTACTGTACTTACCTTTACACTACCTGCTGATGCTGTACTATCTGTAATAGAGAATGTTCTTGGTCTTAGACAAGCTATTCCATACATTGTTAACACACTAATCTAAACAGTTAACAAGGCATCACAAGTGATACAAATCCCCTAGCATTCTCACATTGTGTGCCATATGTATGAGGAAATGAACAGAAAATTCAATGATGTATCAGTATCTGCTCTAGCGACTGCATTTGTTGAAGGTATTGTCATGACAAACAATTGTACTGAGTTTAATGAAATTCCATTAAGGAATTAAGTTGATAAAGCAATGACAAACTTTTTCTAAAAATAGTACAAGTGACCTTGACCTTTAACGCAAAAAAACCCAAAAGCAAACTTGTTCAAGGTTTTGTCATACCAAACACTTGTATCATGTGTTATGAAATTCTGTTGAGGAATGAAGTTGGTAGATGACAAAGTTTTTTTTCTAAAAATAGCAACAGTGACCTTGACCTTCAACATAGAAACCTGTAACGGGAATTTGTTCAAGAAATTGCCATACCAAATACTTTTCCATGGAGAAATGAAGTCGCTAGAGTGATGACAAGAGTACAGGCGGAATCCTATATCCCCCCCAACCTTCGTTACGAGGGGATAGTAAAGAAGTTTCTTTATTGTTTGTTATGTATTTTTTTCTCATTTCACCCAGATTGATTAAGAGTAAGCTTGTGTTCCTGTTTCTGAACTGTACAAGCAACTTTTAACACTTTTAACAGAACTGGTCAAATGTCAATACAATGGTATTATTCTGACCATCACATCCTTTTACTAACAAGAAAATAATTGGAAATGATATTTCAATAATTCAAAATATCTCACCTCCAGACTCTGGTCCCTGGGATATATTGGGTTCCTGTCAAATAAATATGTAAACTGTTAGGGACAGTATTGAGTTCCTGTCAAATAAATATGTAAACTGTTAGGGACAGTATTGAGTTCCTGTCAAATAAATATGTAAACTGTTATCACAAATATCTGTTGTTGTGTTATACAGGAAATCTACAACTTCTCTTTTATTATTTTATTTGTAGAGAAGCCAATTATTTCAATATTTCAGAGTTTTTTTTATTGTTCTTGGTGGGAAATCTGTGAAATGTGGTTCTATACCCCCTAAGGATGTTTATATCCCTGGTTCTATATCCCCTAAGGATAGGTTTATACCCCTGGTTCTATTCCCCCTAAGTATAGGTTTATACCCCCTAAGGATAGGGTTATACCCCCTAAGGATAGGCTTATACCCCCTAAAGATAGATTTATACCCCCTAAGGATACGTTTATACCCCCTAAGGATAGGTTTATTCCCCTTGTTCTATATCCCCTAAGGATAGGGTTATACCCCTGGTTCTATATCCCCGAAGGATAGGTTTATACCCCTGGTTCTATATACCCTAAGGATAGGTTTATACCCCTGGTCCTATATCCCCTAAGGATAGGTTTATTCCCCTGGTTCTATATCCCCTAAGGATAGCTTTATACCCCTGGTTCTATATCCCCTAAGGATAGGTTTACACCCCTGGTTCTATATCCCCTAAGGCTAGGTTTATACCCCTGGTTCTATATCCCCTAAGGATAGCTTTATACCCCTGGTTCTATATCCCCTAAGGATAGCTTTATACCCCTGGTTCTATATCCCCTAAGGATAGCTTTATACCCCTGGTTCTATATCCCCTAAGGATAGGTTTATATCCCTGGTTCTATACCCCCTAAGGATAGGTTTATTCCCCTGGTTCTATATCCCCTAAGGATAGCTTTATACCCCTGGTTCTATATCCCCTAAGGCTAGGTTTATACCCCTGGTTCTATATCCCCTAAGGATAGGTTTATGCCGCTGGTTCTATATCCCCTAAGGATAGGTTTACACCCCTGGTTCTATATCCCCTAAGGATAGGTTTACACCCCTGGTTCTATATCCCCTAAGGCTAGGTTTATACCCCTGGTTCTATATCCCCTAAGGCTAGGTTTATACCCCTGGTTCTATATCCCCTAAGGCTAGGTTTATACCCCTGGTTCTATATCCCCTAAGGATAGGTTTACACCCCTGGTTCTATATCCCCTAAGGCTAGGTTTATACCCCTGGTTCTATATCCCCTAAGGCTAGGTTTATACCCCTGGTTCTATATACCCTAAGGATAGGTTTATACCCCTGGTCCTATATCCCCTAAGGATAGGTTTATGCCGCTGGTTCTATATCCCCTAAGGATAGCTTTATACCCCTGGTTCTATATCCCCTAAGGATAGGTTTATGCCGCTGGTTCTATATCCCCTAAGGATAGCTTTATACCCCTGGTTCTATATCCCCTAAGGATAGGTTTATGCCGCTGGTTCTATATCCCCTAAGGATAGGTTTACACCCCTGGTTCTATATCCCCTAAGGATAGGTTTACACCCCTGGTTCTATATCCCCTAAGGATAGGTTTATACCCCCTAAGGATAGGTTTATACCCCCTAAAGATAGATTTATACCCCTTTCTTCTTCCGCTGTGATGTATTCATTCTATGATTAACTTGCAAAAGTCAACAAATTAAGAAATTACACTCAAAAGTCAACAAACTGAAATCCTGGTTATATTCAGTATGTGTAGGACAGTTCCTACTCACCAGTTTCGTGTAATCCTGGGAAAGGTTTCTGCGTGTTTTTTCCGAGTCCTCCGCAGACTTGGAGCCATCAACAGAATCTACATCAGGTAGGACTAAAACTTCTTGTGAAGGAATTGACTCAAATTTTTTAAATTCTGGAAACTTCAATTTTTTATCCGACGCTATTATTGCCCCATCAGCTGACCGCCGATAGGCCGGACTCTGAAAATTCAACATACAATTATACATACTAACATCATCGGAATCTAACATTAATGCAAACTAACAACTACCAAATATCAGATTCACAAACAATCTTACACTGGGCATGTTTACTTCATAATTCATTTGGACTGTATTTCCTAACTATTCTTACTATTGTCTACCTTTATGCCCTGTTGTCGGTATTAAGTCCTGTGTGAAATGATCGTGTTTTGGGGCTGTAAACATACTGTGAGAAATGATCGTGTTTTGGGGCTGTAAACATACTGTGAGAAATGATCGTGTTTTGGGGCTGTAAACATACTGTGAGAAATGATCGTGTTTTGGGGCTGTAAACATACTGTGAGAAATGATCGTGTTTTGGGGCTGTAAACATACTGTGAGAAATGATCGTGTTTTGGGGCTGTAAACATACTGTGAGAAATGATCGTGTTTTGGGGCTGTAAACATACTGTGAGAAATGATCGTGTTTTGGGGCTGTAAACATACTGTGAGAAATGATCGTGTTTTGGGGCTGTAAACATACTGTGAGAAATGATCGTGTTTTGGGGCTGTAAACATACTGTGAGAAATGATCGTGTTTTGGGGCTGTAAACATACTGTGAGAAATAATTGTTTTTTAGGATGGAAGACATTGTCCTGTATATAAAATTACTGTGTTGTTTACCCCTACAGATAACCCAGTGTGAAGTTCTTGTGTTACTGGGTCACATACATAGCCCTGCATGAAATTATTGTGTTACTGGCCCACGGACATAGCCCTGCATGAAATTATTGTGTTACTGGCCAACATACATAGCCCTGCATGAAACTATTGTGTTACTGGCCCACATACATAGCCCTGCATGAAATTATTGTGTTACTAGCCCACAGACATAGCCCTGCATGAAATTATTGTGTTACTAGCTTGCCACATACATAGCCCTGCATGAAATTATTGTGTTACTGGCCCACAGACATAGACCTGCATGCAATTATTGTGTTACTGGCCCACAGACATAGCCCTGCATGAAATTATTGTGTTACTGGTCCACATACAAAGCCCAGCATGAAATTATTGTGTTACTGGCCCACAGACATAGCCCTGCATGGAATTGTTATGTTGGAGGGACATAGATAAAACTCTATGTGAAATTATTGTGTGGTTGGACCTTCGACATAGCAATCTTTCAATTCCTCAATGAATCAATAAAACACATGTTTGTATCAACACATATTTTATCAAGCAAAGGGTTGGATAAACCTGAAATTTGACAAATGTCTTTGTCTGCACTGCCGTTATAACTTCTTTGCTTATAAATGTATATCTAATGGTATTTAACCAATACATACCCAACAAACATTTGTTTGTTCAGATCCAGTGCCCATATTGGATCATACTGTCGTTATTATTTATAAGACCTATGAATATGTCTATAAATATATTTATTTTGTGTGTTATTTTGTATTTTTCTTTGCAAAAACTAGTTACCGTACTATCAACTATTATAGATAAATGACATTCCATTTTTACACAGATATTACATAACCCTTATCTTGAATGACAGTTTTTACCTAGGGGAGGCTGTATCACATGTTCTATTGTACATACATTCAAAGTAGGGGTACTATCAAAGTACTTACATCTTTAGGAGAGGTTCTAGGAGGAACAGCTGGTGGTGTTGAAAGACCTGTACACATAATATAAACAGTATTTATCAGGTCATATAGCAATATAAAAGCATCAGTAAATATTAACACAATTTCATTTTGTGCACAAAAAAAAGAAAGAAATGAAATTGATTATCATCTTTAAATTTCAGAAAGAATGGCTTCAGCGAAGAATAAGAAACACGTACACAGTATCTTGAAAATATGATAATTACTTTTGTTTTATTTTATTTAGATAAATTGCTACCAGGGTGACTACCTACCTATAGCTATGAGATCCACAGACAGACTGCGACCGTGAGGCTGAGCCCCGGGCCGCGGAGGAGGACGAGGTGGTTCTTGGTTAACAACATTGTCTAGACTGTGTGTTGATGACAATGGAGGACGATCCGCTGCCCCTTCCCCGGTCCCCGGTTGACTAGACACTGGTACAGGTATAAGGAGACCGCCAACACCTCCTGGTACTAGAGAAGACAATAAAGGGGAGGTAATAACTACCATATGTGGGATGGAACAAATCTCTCAGGCGTCTTATTTTGATAAGGTTAAGATCACATCCATGTCGGTTATTTTCTGTGACTTGTCATGAGCAGTCATTAAAAGTACATTAGATAGTTTATGTTATTTTGTAAAATAAATCTCATCCTATATTATTAAACTTTTCTTTAAAATGCAATATTTAAGATATAGTAACCTTGTTCTACTTCATACCTTATTCTTTATAAAAACGGACTTTCAAACATACAGCAAATGTCCAGTCCCGGTGTTATAAATGTCAAAGAAATTTTAATTTTAAGCTGAACAAATAGCAAATCTGTTGGAAAATCTACTTTTGATAATGATAACCCAGCAGTATAATAGAACACACAAAGATAAACAATCAATATTATTAAACTTTTCTTTAAAATGCAATATTTAAGATATAGTAACCTTGTTCTACTTCATACCTTATTCTTTATAAAAACGGACTTTCAAACATACAGCAAATGTCCAGTCCCGGTGTTATAAATGTCAAAGAAATTTTAATTTTAAGCTGAACAAATAGCAAATCTGTTGGAAAATCTACTTTTGATAATGATAACCCAGCAGTATAATAGAACACACAAAGATAAACAATCTATTTATCAGAGTCTCTTCAATCATGTAACGCTAGAGAAAACTTACAATACATGTTTTCATGTACAGGCCTTCATAACAAGTTTATCTAACCACCAAGCCTACCCCTAGTCCTAATTTAAACAACACTGATTTGTGTGTTTTGTTGGCTAAAATGAAGACACTTAGAAGTGTCCAAGGACTTTTGTCCCTGTGGAGGCTATACAAAGGCAGACAACCATCCCTGTCTGATTGAACTGTTTCATAAGACTACTGTGTACCAGGATATGTCAGTTATAGTTTAACCTCTGCCCTTTCCACCTCAGTACAGAGGACTTATATTCATTATGATAGCTAGAAATAATACGCAGCCTTCTATACATAGCGATTCACCAGTAAAGGAGGATACACAGCCTTCTATACATAGCGATTCACAAGTAAAGCAGGATCACAGCCTTCTATACATAGTGATTCACCAGTAAAGGAGGATACACAGCCTTCTATACATAGTGATTCACCAGTAAAGCAGGATACACAGCCTTCTATACATAGCGATTCACCAGTAAAGGAGGATACACAGCCTTCTATACATAGTGATTCACCAGTAAAGCAGGATACACAGCCTTCTATACATAGTGATTCACCAGTAAAGCAGGATACACAGCCTTCTATACATAGTGATTCACCAGTAAAGCAGGATACACAGCCTTCTATACATAGTGATTCACCAGTAAAGCAGGATACACAGCCTTCTATACATAGTGATTCACCAGTAAAGCAGGATACACAGCCTTCTATACATAGTGATTCACCAGTAAAGCAGGATACACAGCCTTCTATACATAGTGATTCACCAGTAAAGCAGGATACACAGCCTTCTATACATAGTGATTCACCAGTAAAGCAGGATACACAGCCTTCTATACATAGTGATTCACCAGTAAAGCAGGATACACAGCCTTCTATACATAGTGATTCACCAGTAAAGCAGGATACACAGCCTTCTATACATAGTGATTCACCAGTAAAGCAGGATACACAGCCTTCTATACATAGTGATTCACCAGTAAAGCAGGATACACAGCCTTCTATACATAGTGATTCACCAGTAAAGCAGGATACACAGCCTTCTATACATAGTGATTCACCAGTAAAGCAGGATACACAGCCTTCTATACATAGTGATTCACCAGTAAAGCAGGATACACAGCCTTCTATACATAGTGATTCACCAGTAAAGCAGGATACACAGCCTTCTATACATAGTGATTCACCAGTAAAGCAGGATACACAGCCTTCTATACATAGTGATTCACCAGTAAAGCAGGATACACAGCCTTCTATACATAGTGATTCACCAGTAAAGCAGGATACACAGCCTTCTATACATAGTGATTCACCAGTAAAGCAGGATACACAGCCTTCTATACATAGTGATTCACCAGTAAAGCAGGATACACAGCCTTCTATACATAGTGATTCACCAGTAAAGCAGGATACACAGCCTTCTATACATAGTGATTCACCAGTAAAGCAGGATACACAGCCTTCTATACATAGTGATTCACCAGTAAAGCAGGATACACAGCCTTCTATACATAGTGATTCACCAGTAAAGCAGGATACACAGCCTTCTATACATAGTGATTCACCAGTAAAGCAGGATACACAGCCTTCTATACATAGTGATTCACCAGTAAAGCAGGATACACAGCCTTCTATACATAGTGATTCACCAGTAAAGCAGGATACACAGCCTTCTATACATAGTGATTCACCAGTAAAGCAGGATACACAGCCTTCTATACATAGTGATTCACCAGTAAAGCAGGATACACAGCCTTCTATACATAGTGATTCACCAGTAAAGCAGGATACACAGCCTTCTATACATAGTGATTCACCAGTAAAGCAGGATACACAGCCTTCTATACATAGTGATTCACCAGTAAAGCAGGATACACAGCCTTCTATACATAGTGATTCACCAGTAAAGCAGGATACACAGCCTTCTATACATAGTGATTCACCAGTAAAGCAGGATACACAGCCTTCTATACATAGTGATTCACCAGTAAAGCAGGATACACAGCCTTCTATACATAGTGATTCACCAGTAAAGCAGGATACACAGCCTTCTATACATAGTGATTCACCAGTAAAGCAGGATACACAGCCTTCTATACATAGTGATTCACCAGTAAAGCAGGATACACAGCCTTCTATACATAGTGATTCACCAGTAAAGGAGGATACACAGCCTTCTATACATAGTGATTCACCAGTAAAGCAGGATACACAGCCTTCTATACATAGTGATTCACCAATAAAGGATGTAAGTAACACTGGGTAAATTTTAATATTACTGAGGAAGATGGAAAGTACATTGATACTGATATGAATTTAACTTAACGCTCAGTAAATGTACCGATACAAACTTGCTCTACATAAGCATCAGATAAATAGAATACCTCCCTGAGGTAAATAGATCATTAACCTTACATCAGCCATATTGTTTTACCTATATAACACCTGTGTACAAGTTCTCCAGCAGGTTTGAGTTGAGTGCATTTTGTTACACATACAAGTAATTCAAATATTGGCCAACATGTTTATAAAATCTACAAATTAAAGATGGTTCTATATTAACAATTAAATACATCAAATAACTAAACAATAAAAAGCTAATTCATTTCCACCACTAATGCAATAGTTTCTGTGATACCAAAACAATGCTGGAATTCAAGGGTAATTCAACATGGTCAAAATTGAATAACATGGTGTTGTCAAAATTTCATGCAGTCAAACAGGCAACATGCCAACATATCATCATCATCAGTATTAACCAGTCAGTCATGCACTTCAGTCAGATATCTCCCATATTCTGACCCCGAGCATCATTACCTGAAGATAAAAGCTCCCAGCAGTATGTACCTAAGACATACCAGCTCCCAGCAGTATGTACCTAGACACATAGCTCCCAGCAGTATGTACCTAGACATAAGGCTCCCAGCAGTATGTAACTCGACAAAAAGCTCCCAGCAGTATGTACCTAGACACATAGCTCCCAGCAGTATGTATCTAGACATATAGCTCCCAGCAGTATGTACCTAGATATATATGCTCCCAGCAGTATGTACCTTAACTTATAGCTCCCAGCAGTATGCACCTAAACATATAGCTCCCAGCAATATGTACCTAGACACATAGCTCCCAGCAGTAAGTACCTCGACATAAAGCTCCCAGCAGTATGTACCTCGAAATATAGCTCCCAGCAGTATGTACCTAGACATAAGGCTCCCAGCAGTATGTACCTCGACAAAAAGCTCCCAGCAGTATGTACCTAGACACATAGCTCCCAGCAGTATGTACCTTAACTTATAGCTCCCAGCAGTATGTACCTAGACATAAGGCTCCCAGCAGTATGTACCTAGACATATAGCTCCCAGCTGTATGTACCTAAACTTATAGCTCCCAGCAGTATGTACCTAAACTTATAGCTCCCAGCTGTATGTACCTAGACATATATGCTCCCAGCAGTATGTAACTAGATATATATGCTCCCAGCAGTATGTACCTAGACATATAGCTCCCAGCAGTATGTACCTAGATATATATGCTCCCAGCAGTATGTACCTTAACTTATAGCTCCCAGCAGTATGTACCTGGACATAAGGCTCCCAGCAGTATGTACCTAGACATATAGCTCCCAGCAGTATGTACCTTAACTTATAGCTCCCAGCAGTATGAACCTAGACATAAAGCTCCCAGCAGTATGTAAACATAAACATATAGCTCCCAGCAGTATGTATCTAGACATATAGCTCCCAGCTGTATGTACCAAGACACATAGCTCCTAGCAGTATGTACCTAGCCCAGCAGTATGTAAACATAAACATATAGCGCCCAGCAGTATGTATCTAGACATATAGCTCCCAGCTGTATGTACCTAGACATATAGCTCCCAGCAGTATGTACCTAGACACATAGCTCCCAGCAGTATGTAACCAGACAGATAGCTCCCAGCAGTATGTAACTAGACAGATAGCTCCCAGCTGTATGTACCTAGACATATAGCTCCCAGCAGTATGTACCTAGACATATAACTCCCAGCTGTATGTACCTAGACATATAGCTCCCAGCAGTATGTACCTAGACATATAGCTCCCAGCTGTATGTACCTAGACTTATAGCTCCCAGCAGTATGTACCTAAACTTATAGCTCCCAGCTGTATGTACCTAGACATATATGCTCCCAGCAGTATGTACCTTAACTTATAGCTCCCAGCAGTATGCACCTAAACATATAGCTCCCAGCAGTATGTACCTAAACTTATAGCTCCTAGCAGTATGAACCTAGACATATAGCTCCCAGCAGTATGTACCTAGACAGCAGTATGTACCTAGACATATAGCTCCTAGCAGTATGTACCTAGACATATATGCTCCCAGCAGTATGTACCTTAACTTATAGCTCCCAGCAGTATGCACCTAAACATATAGCTCCCAGCAGTATGTACCTAAACTTATAGCTCCCAGCAGTATGTACCTAAACATATAGCTCCCAGCAGTATGTATACATAAACATATAGCTCCCAGCTGTATGTACCTATAGATATTAGCTCCCAGCAGTATGTACCTAGACATATAGCTCCTAGCTGTATGTACCTATAGATATTAGCTCCCAGCAGTATGCACCTAAACATATAGCTCCCAGCAGTATGTACCTAGACATATAACTCCTAGCAGTATGTACCTAGACATATAGCTCCTAGCAGTATGTACCTAGACATATTAGCTCCCAGCAGTATGTACCTAGACATATAGCTCCAAGCTGTATGTACCAAGACACATAGCTCCTAGCAGTATGTACCTAGACATATTAGCTCCCAGCAGTATGTACCTAGACATATAGCTCCTAGCAGTATGTACCTAGACATATAGCTCCCAGCAGTATGTACCTAGACATATAGCTCCCAGCAGTATGTACCTAGACATATATGCTCCCAGCAGTATGTACCTAGACATATAGCTCCCAGCAGTATGTACCTCATTATAAAGCTTCCAACAGTATAATAGCCCCTTATAATAGTTACTACAAGATGAAAATCCCTCCAATACTAACTAGAGATATTTGAGTAATATATGTTCATTGCATAGCAAAGTTTTATTTGCATATGAAGACCAGGAATTGTCTCACAAACATCTAAATATATAGCCTTTTTTTGCCCAAAAACTCCTTAAAACCATCATCTCTGATCATCTTGGGTTTGTTATAAATGCATTTCAAAGTATTACAGAACAGTACATACAAATCAATCAATACATGGCTCCTGGGTAATGTTATTGTCTAAGGCCTCCCTGTTCTATGTACCTGGATTGGCTTTCTTTGGCACTGGCCGAGGCCTACTGACAAGAGTTATGGGCCCCTGACCAGCAGGCACCGCTTTGCTGACAGTACCAGTGTCGTTTTGTTGGACGGTAGTAGGTACTTCAGCAGTACAACTAGTCTCGGTGTTGGACCGCTGTTTGGTTGTCACAGTAACAGTGGCGCTAGTAGTGGCAGCGGTGGACATGTTAGGATCTGTCTGCAAGGATTCGGATTGGTCAGGAAGTGAGGTGTCAACAAGTGGGGCTGGCTCTGGAAACATTCAGACACCAAATGTGCGAGAAAGAGAAACCATGCCAACGCGAGATAAACTCAACAAGGTAATCCGTACAGGCCAGACTGCCCTGGCCCCAAATACCTGACAACATATTACAGTTGTTAGCTCTATAGAAACGCTTTCCTATTGGCTCAAATTTGAATGTAATTATTACCATATTATCAAGAAACTATAACATAAAAAAAAGATTTTGTATTTTTTTTTTTTATTATTATCTTTTATGATAGCTAAAGCAGTCTGGCCATAAATTCCTTTTTTCAATCATGCAATATTTTGAACTCCTGAAAAGAAAGTTAGGAAACTGCTTTATCATTTAAATGATTATCAGTCAAAATTAAAGCAGTGTCATTTTTAACTTAATTTTGAAGCATAGAGACAAAGAATTCATTTGAAAAAGTTCTAAAAACAACATGAAATTTGAAGAAACCAAAACAAATACAAGGGTTATATTATGTATAGGAGGAGTTCATGCATCTAACCATGCAATCTAGAAACAATGCAATCTAAGAAACAATAAAGAATGGTAAGGTTCTACCATGCATTGACAGAAATCTACGAAATGGGTACTGTTGTATTTAGATGGGGAAACTGTGATCTGGTATTTTAGTAGATTAACATCTCTACAAGTATTTTATTACTTGTTTACGAGTACTAGCATATACTCATAATTTTTTCCCACTTGTTATGCAATGTATAAACTGCCAAGGAATAAAACATTTTTCAACTATTTCTAAGTCAATGGTTAAACTTTATACCAAGGGAAGTAACTCCATACACATTTGTAATATATCCTGTACAAGCGCTAAATGCATTTCTAGATGGGAGACTACAGAAGCAGTGGAAGTGAGAGTATCCTTAGTTGTGAGTTTGTTGTATCAGACCTGTTATTAACAGTCACAATATCTACATTTACATAAACACTAATAAGCTCAAAGCTAAGCTGAGACACCTAAGTGTGAAAGATAGACAGAGGACAGAACAGAGAAATGTCTGATTCAGCACACTCTTCTTATTCAAATATTGTTTTAACAGATTTTATTCTTTAAGAATCTTTCTCTTTTTTTTCATGTCAGTTCTATTCAATTCATTCATAATTCATAAAAACAGACATTTACAATCTTTTGATAAAGACAAATCGTTTTCATTTACTTAGATGAAAGAACCGCCTTTTGACCAGTGGTTAACAGGCTTCCCCATCAGGATAATTGCCATAATAGTTGAGAAATAACTCTGGTACTCTACAAAATATTTTTAGAAAGGCTTTCATTATTTGTACCAACAGTAACCAGTTTCAACAATTTCCTGACATGTGGTACCTCTTTCCATGTCAGGATTTGCTGTATGGGTCAGGCCTATATTTAAGACTTTAGATCCCCGTGGTAGTTACTCACTGTTAAGGTATATCAGTAGAGTGAGAAGAGGTAGAAAGAGTTAGTAGAAAGCCGCATACACTAGCAGCCACAATACCTGAAAACGCCCTACCCCTTTCCACCCCCTCGGGTGGGTACCGCTGACTCTCCGGGGACATCCTCACTGCTACCGGGTGCACAATTTTGGCTTCCTGTAAGGTAAAAAGTTGATGTGATAAATATGTTTAGTAAATCATTAATAATATATGGGGATGTGATAAATAGGTTTAGAAAATCATTAATAATATATGGGGATGTGATAAATAGGTTTAGAAAATCATTAATAATATATGGGGATGGGATTTAAAATTGTCTTTAACATTTGTACAGTGGGCCAAGAATAGAATTAATTGTGGGTGGGAGTCCAAAAAACAGTATCATCGAACATATTTATTTCAGGATAAAAATAGCTCAAAATTTTATATTTCACCAGCATTTAATGATCTGATATATTACCAGGTTTCTGTTTACAGATGTTGTACCATTGTAACAATAACACACAGTAGGGTCATTCTGATTTTGTTGACATAACTTCATTCCCCTTCCTATACATTTTTAAGTTTGATATGACAACTTTCAAGTCCCCTGTTAGAGTAATCAAAGCAGTAGATCAAACACACTTCCAATGACCTATCGTATTAAAGGTTGATCTAGTATTAACGCTATCAGTGATGGATCTTGAAACAGAACACTTTATTATACAAAAGGGAAACCTTAGCTTGGTATAAGAGTGTATTTTGGAAACTTGTGATTATAATGGAGCATGCTGTGTTACTAATGACAGAATACTAACAGAGTCTGAGGGTACCGGTTTGTTACTAATGACAGAATACTAACAGAGTCTGAGGGTACCGGTTTGGAGAACTCAAAGTTGGCCGGTTTGATGCTTGGAGAGGACATCTCACTGGAGGTCTGGGGGGACTCCTGGATCAGGGACTGGGCCCAATGGGCACCCCCACTCTGCTGGGCTGGTGGAGACGAGGGGGGCGTCGTCCTCTTAAGTGTGCTGCCTGGTGGCAGGTCCACAGCAAATGGTTCCTCTACAAAATCGTCAAAGTACAAGACTAAGTGAACTTACATTTATCTTTCTTTAATATTGATTAAATAAGGAAGATATTTTGTAAAGGGGAGGGGGGAGGGAGTAAAACAAATTTCAGTGGAGAACATGGTGATCAATGACATGAATACCATGAATGGATTTGGAATTTTTCAGAGAGTATGCAAAAAAATATTTCAGTTCTGTACATTTTCCAGAAAGTCTTCCAATAATGCTAAAGTTGACCATCACAGAAACTCATTTCTTACTCTAACAAAGCCATCAGAATGTTTTATATCCAGTTACTGGTTGACTTGTGGAGTGAACAGTTTATGTTCTATGAACATCTCACATGATTCATGATTGGTATGACATTATAGACTCCAGATGACTTATACTTCACCAACATATAATTTTTTAGCCTTAGCTTTCTGTACATATTTGTGAAGACAATAAATTGTGTTTCACTCTGCAAAATTGACCATCTTTACAAATCTGCTAAATTAGTGATTGCCAAAATTACAGAAGACTTTTACAGTATTATTCACTTGAAACTATCATGATCTGTGCATATTGCAAATTTTATGTTGCAGACAAAAAAAAAGGATAAGTTATCCACAGTACTAGATAGATCTCCTTGGATCTACCTTATAGAACACAAATGGCATCACACATTCTGAATAGATTTTATGAGACTTACCGTTGGTAAAAGCAGAGTATGGCATGAGAGAAAAAGGAAGTCGATCTGGCAGTTCTATCTCATTTCTCCGTAACACCACCAAATGCATAGCTATACAGAATTCTTCTAACGATAACGCACCATCACGATTCAAATCAGACAATTGCCTACAAACAATGAAATTAATTGAAGAAATTTTAATGAGATGTCTATTTCCAACAATAAAACCTCACTCTTACAAACAACCCTCTCCCTAAACAGACCAGTGTGTTCTCCTTACACCTCTGTTGACAGACAAGCTCTCAGCCTTAGTATGTCTGTTTAAATATATTCTATTGTACCTAATTCAATTCTTAATTTCTCATGTAGGATCTCACTGAAATTTGTCAAAGATCAGTACATCACTGACCTTTGACCTCAGTAACAGTGCTGGGTCTCTACCTGACCTCAGTAACAGTGCTGGGTCTCTACCTGCATGACCTCAGTACCTGTGTTGGGTCCCCACTGACCTCAGTAACAGTGCTGGGTCCCCACTGCCCTCAGTAACAGTGCTGGGTCCCCACTGACCTAAGTAACAGGGCTGGGTCCCCACTGACCTCAGTAACAGTACTGGGTCCCCACTGACCTCAGTAACAGTGCTGGGTCCCCACTGCCCTCAGTAACAGTGCTGGGTCTCTACCTGACCTCAGTAACAGTGCTGGGTCTCCCACTGACCTCAGTAGCAGTGTTGGGTCCCCACTGACCTCAGTAGCAGTGTTGGGTCCCCACTGACCTCAGTAACAGTGCTGGGTCTCTACCTGACCTCAGTACCAGTGTTGGGTCCCCACTAACCTCAGTAGCAGTGCACGGTCCCCACTGACCTCAGTACTAGTGCTGGGTCTCTACCTGACCTCAGTAAGAGTGTTGGGTCTCCCACTGACCTCAGTAACAGTGCTGGGTCCCCACTGACCTCAGTAACGGTGCTGGGTCTCTACCTTACCTCAGTAACAGTGCTGGGTCCCCTATGACCTCAGTAACAGTGCTGGGTCTCTACCTGACCTCAGTAACAGTGCTGGGTCTCTACCTGACCTCAGTAGCAGTGCTGGGCCTGACCTCAGAAACAGTGCTGGGTCTCTACCTGACCTCAGTAACAGTGCTGGGTCTCTACCTGACCTCAGTAACAGTGCTGGGTCTCTATCTGACCTCAGTAACAGTGCTGGGCCTGACCTCAGTAACAGTGCTGGTTCTCTACCTGATCTCAGTAACAGTGCTGGGCCCCCACTGACCTCAGTAACAGTGCTGGGTCCCCACTGACCTCAGTAACAGTGCTGGGTCTCTACCTGACCTCAGTACCAGTGCTGGGTCTCTACCTGACCTCAGTACCAGTGCTGGGTCTCTACCTGACCTCAGTAGCAGTGCTGGGCCTGACCTCAGAAACAGTGCTGGGTCTCTACCTGACCTCAGTAACAGTGCTGTGCCTGACCTCAGTACCAGTGCTGGGTCTCTACCTGACCTCAGTGACAGTGCTGGGTCTCTGCCTGACCTCAGTAACAGTGCTGGGTCTCTACCTAACCTCAGTACCAGTGTTGGGTCCCCACTGACCTCAGTACCAGTGCTGGGTCTCTACCTGACCTCAGTAACAGTGCTGGGTCTCTACCTAACCTCAGTACCAGTGTTGGGTCCCCACTGACCTCAGTACCAGTGCTGTGTCTCTACCTGACCTCAGTGACAGTGCTGGGTCTCTACCTGACCTCAGTAACAGTGCTGGGCCTGACCTCAGTACCAGTGCTGGGTCTCTACCTGACCTCAGGAACAGTGCTGGGTCTCTACCTGACCTCAGTAACAGTGCTGTGCCTGACCTCAGTACCAGTGCTGGGTCTCTACCTGACCTCAGTGACAGTGCTGGGCCTCTACCTGACCTCAGTAACAGTGCTGGGTCTCTACCTAACCTCAGTACCAGTTTTGGGACCCCACGGACCTCAGTACCAGTGCTGTGTCTCTACCTGACCTCAGTGACAGTGCTGGGTCTCTACCTGACCTCAGTAACAGTGCTGGGCCTCTACCTGACCTCAGTACCAGTGCTGGGTCTCTTCCTGACCTCAGTAACAGTGCTGGGTCTCTACCTGATCTATGTGGTTGTTGAATCACCCCTTTAGTTTATGATGTTATTGTCAATCATGCTTTTAATTGCTGTTATTTTCATAGAATTATGGAATTCTGATTGGTAAGTTTTCAGTGAAAAAGCATTATTTATACAACTACTAAGCTCTCGGTGACCTAAAAATTATACTTACCAGATCTTTGATAATTCATGTACTGGTAGTTTTGACTTTTCGAAGAAGTCTTTAGCAACACCACCTACAAGGTTAATATTGTAATTTAAATAGTAGTCAGAAATACCCGTACAGAAACAAGTCCAGTACTAGGTACTGTGGGTTAAGGTATAGACAGAACAAAGGGTTTCAAAGGAAAACAATTCTCCCAATAGAACAAAGAGCATAAATTGCAAGTTATAACTGCATAGCCAACATCAAATAATCTGGAACATCAAATGTTATCTATATAGACATGATATTTGGTATCTGACAATGAAGACCTTGTTGACCTTGAGACTTACCTAATATTGCACCACCAAGGTCAGGTTGCATGATTTGGAATTGTTTGACATAATAATCTCTTTGTTCTTCATTAATGCTCCAGATATCGTCTACACTCTCCGGGTCAGAGCTTATCGAGGAGGAATCGAACCCAGGCGCTTCTAGGTTGTAAGTTTTCTTGGGACCAGTACCCAGTAAACCTGTGAACACACAACAAAGAAGAGTAAAATCCCGAAATTTTACTTATAGTCAGAAATCTGGTCTCTCAAGATCCCTGTTTCTAAAACTACTACCAGTATATATCTGAAGACATTATCTCCATTGCTACAGATTTTACCTAATGGTGAAACGATCACTGATGCATTGAAGAACCGTATCATATCTTGAGTGCCGATGCATCATGGCATTCACCGATAGTATCACAATACTTTAAACAATTTATGTACTGCCAGATACTGCTCTTTAAGAGTGGTTACCAGTCTTGGGTCGCGACTATTTATCGCCAATAATTCAGGCATTTTTGGAAATATTTAGAAACTGTTAAAATTTCAGGTAATAATTCAAGAATGCATTACTTATTTTATTATAGCAAAAAGTTGTAGTTCAAAGCCATGTTATTACATGATAAAATCTTAAAAACTCACTGAAGTAAGCCAAAATTTCAGGTGTCTCTGGCGATTTGAACTGATCAGTACAGCAATTGGGAAAATATACTGACATGTTGCATGGTAAGTTAGTACTCTGAGATGGAAAATGCCGTTCTTGTGTTTAAACTTATGCCGATATATTCAATCTTTGCTGTTCGATTGTGGAAAGACGACACGTGGAAAGTCGTGAAGTTTGCAGGTTTTGTGTACTGCAAATAGTCAAGGTTGCGTTATACTATTGACCAGTAGGAACTCGCGTGGACACACAAGTGCAGGTTGAACCGGCAATGATGTCAGTTAAGAGTTTAAACAAGAGGCCCAAGGGCCTTAGCGGTCACCTGAGTTATATCATAGATACTGGTAGCTTTATTTTATTGTTTAGATGTGATGTGGAAATCAGCATGTAAACTAAGTGAAATACAATACTTGTCATGTCATCAATGGATAAGAATTTGAAAATATTGGTAAATGTTCCCTTTGGGGCCCCGCTCTAGCCCCTGGGGATGGGGCAGGAATCCTAATTTTACAAAGTAAAACTCTCATTTACCCAAGATGATTCTGACTAAGTTTGAGCAATTTTCTGCTGAAAATATATAAAATATATACCGAAAAGTGTTATTTCCCTATATAAACTATATTAAACGTTAACCCCTCCCCAAGGGAGAACGGATAGCTCGGGGTCCTGATATTTTCAATTTAAATAAAGCCCCTGATGATCTTTCTTTCCACGTAAAGAAAATCACTGTAGTACCTCTGAGTCTGGAGAAGAAGATTTTTGAAATATTGATTAATTTTCCCTTTGGGGCCCCGCCCTGGCCCCAGGGGTCGGGGTAGGAATCTCAATTTTACAATTTGAAACCATCTACCTCCAAGGATAATTCTCACCAAGTAAAAATAATTTCCTACAGAAAGTTGTCAAAATATACCCAAAAGTGTTATTTCCCTATATAAACTATAGTAAACTTTACCCCCTCCCCAAGGGAGAACGGATAGCTCGGGGGTCCTGAAATTTACAATTTAAGTAAAGCCCCTGATGATCTTTCTTTCCACGTAGAGAAAATCACTGTAGTACCTCTGAGTCTGGAGAAGAAGATTTTTGAAATATTGATTAATTTTCCCTTTGGGGCCCCGCCCTGGCCCCAGGGGTCGGGGTAGGAATCTCAATTTTACAATTTGAAACCATCTACCTCCAAGGATAATTCTCACCAAGTAAAAATAATTTCCTACAGAAAGTTGTCAAAATATACCCAAAAGTGTTATTTCCCTATATAAACTATAGTAAACTTTACCCCCTCCCCAAGGGAGAACGGATAGCTCGGGGGTCCTGAAATTTACAATTTAAGTAAAGCCCCTGATGATCTTTCTTTCCACGTAGAGAAAATCACTGTAGTACCTCTGAGTCTGGAGAAGAAGATTTTTGAAATATTGGATAATTTTCCCTTTGGGGCCCCGCCCTGGCCCCAGGGGTGGGGGTAGGAATCCCAATTTTACAATTTTGAAGCCTCATCTACCAAGGATGATTCTGACCAAGTTTGAAAAAAATCCATCCACTGGTTCTTGAGAAGAAGTTGAAAATGTAAAAGTTTACGCACGACGCACGACGGACGACGGACGACGACGGACGAAAAGCGATTGGAATAGGTCACTTGAGCAAAGCTCAGGTGACCTAAAAATAAATATTTAGGGAGTGAAAACAGTCAAATACATATAATTTTGTCTTTTAAAAGAAGGACAAGCTGAGATCTTAAAAGTTTGGTATTTTTTATGTTGAGATGATGTAGGTCGCATATAAAGTAGCAAGTTCAATTAGCTGGACATTTTTTTTAAACAAATATAAAAGTAAAAATAATCTAAATAAAATAAATATTATTCAAAAATAGAATTTCATCCCTGTGATAGGAAATCTGAATCTGAAATAAATGGGTATACAAAAACACTGTTTGGACGTGGATTTGGAATCATTCTTAAACGTAACCCTGTGAGAATACAATATTATGCAAATTTGCAAATCTTGAATTCCTCATACATATGCAAATCAGCTCTCTGAATGTTAAATCAAAACTGTGAAACACCAAAGTAAATGCTTGAAACTTGATTTGCTGGCTAAGTTCTTGGACAGCATATCTGGACTGGTAGACATTTTGAACCCCTAGCTACTTCATCAAAATCTGTCCATGTCTGATAAGCAAGATAGGAGCCAGGCTGGAAAATGACGTCGGTGAGAGCATTTTGTTGGAAATTTTCTCAACGTTATTTATTCTGGTGTCTGTGACAGACCAAGTGTAATGAAACTATCGCCAAAGTTATTGAAAATCAATACAACATTTGCATTTCAGTTTAAAGTTGAATGCTTCCCAATATCGTTACCACAAGGAAATGTGATACAAAGTGATTTGTTGGCTGGCTTATTTTATCCTCCGCAATCCATTTCTCACGGCACACTCATTGTGTAGGGGTAATGTACCTTGATTCTGACAACTAACACAAAAGGAACAGCACATATTCCACAGTCTTTATCAAACTCTCCTACACTTTCCATTCAAAAACCTCTTCTATATAGTAACTTGTTGATAGTACTGTTACTGAATTAAACATCCTTTATTTTTCATTTTAATATTGGTTGGAATATAGCAGTTACTGAAATAAATACCTAAGGAGTCTGGACACAAAATATTTAAATCAAACATCCTTTCTAATATTCACTGAAACAAATTTCAAATAAAAATTTGTTTTATAGCACATTAAAATATTTACTGACAATATGTATGAGATGCACAAATGAGAATTGAGTTGTACAATTTATCAACGCTTGAGGAGATAATGGACCAGTCTTAGTGTCTTGTCTTACCATGACATTCACTACCATCATCCTCGAACGACGCCCATCCAGCCTCGTGTGTGGAATTCATTGAGTTAGCAACATAACCCGCTGGGGCCCCTCCACTGGGTCCCCCACTGGGTCCTCCACTGGGTCCCCCACTGGGTCCTGTTTGAATCGTGGCCTGGGCCCCACTAGGAATCACTGTCGGAGTGTTGACTGGAAACGAGTTCTGATTGGCTGTCACCGGGACAACCTCTGGAATGGTGGAAGCTGTTGGGATTGGCTGCATTGCATTCTGGGTAGGGGGTATGACTGGTGGAGAGGAGGGCGGAGATTGTTTTGGGGAGAAAGGCGGAGATCTTGCATTATGTGGAGAATCGTCTCTGGAATTTATCTGAAAAATATATTAGAATTTCATGCTTAAAACAAAACTATAAAGGTTGTTATTTATTTTCCATTTTAATTTTTACATAATAAAATACGTATTTAAGAAGCAACTGGAATAAAATCAATGGTAGAATATTAGAAACATATAAATGTTAAGTCAAAATGACAGTGGGCTTACCACTGGTGAAAGACTTTAGGACTTGCATGAAAACATAAACAACTGGATACCTGTCCCTGTTGGTCAACAGTGCGGTACTGGCCAGAGAGGTTGCGACTGTGTGACTTTTTGTTGGCGGGTGGGGGAGGCAGCTGACCAGCAGCTGTTTGCATTGGTAGTAGTGCACTTCCTTGGACAGGTGGCCTGTAATTAAAGTACAACACAGATCAACATCTCATACAGGAGACCAATAATTCACATTCACCAGAGGTCACCATCATATACACCAGAGGTCAACATCACATACACCAGAAGTCAACATCACATACAGCAGAGATCAACATAACATACAGCAGACATCAACATTACATACAGCAGAGATCAACATAACATACAGCAGAGATCAACATAACATACAGCAGACATCAAAATTACATACAGCAGAGATCAACATCACGTACAGCAGAGGTCAACATAACATACAGCAGAGATCAACATAACATACAGCAGACATCAAAATTACATACAGCAGAGTTCAACATCACGTACAGCAGAGGTCAACATAACATACAGCAGACATCAACATTACTACAGCAGACATCAACATTACATACATCAGAGATCAACATAACATACAGCAGAGGTCAACATCACATACAGCAGAGATCAACATAAAATACAGCAATGGTCAACATAACATACAGCAGAGAGCAACATTACATACAGCAGAGATCAACATAACATCCAGCAGAGATCAACATAACATACAGCAGACATCAAAATTACATACAGCAGAGATCAACATCACGTACAGCAGAGGTTAACATAACATACAGCAGAGATCAACATAACATCCAGCAGAGATCAACATAACATACAGCAGACATAAACATTACATACTGCAGACATCAACATTACATACATCAGAGATCAACATAACATACAGCAGACATCAACAGTACATACAGCAGAGATCAACATAACATACAGCAGAGGTCAACATAACATACAGCAGACATCAACATTACATACAGCAGACATCAACATTACATACATCAGAGATCAACATAACATACAGCAGAGGTCAACATCACATACAGCAGAGATCAACATAACATACAGCAATGGTCAACATAACATACAGCAGAGATCAACATTACATACAGCAGAGATCAACATAACATACAGCAGAGATCAACATTACATACAACAGGTCAATATCACATACAGCAGAGGTCAACATCACATAAAACAGTAATCAACATTTCATACCAGAGGTCAACATCATATACAACAGAGGTCAAAATCTCAACAAGAGTGGTCAAATTCACATACATCAGAGGTCAAAGCCACAAAAAACAGAGGTCAACATCCGATGCAACAGAGGTCTACATCTAATATAACAGTCAAGTAATACACCAGAGGTCTACATCTAATATAACAGTCAAGTAATACAACAGAGGTCTACATCTAATATAACAACAGTCAAGTCATTGCTTTTATAATATGGGAGGAGAAAAAAACTAACCAGTTTGAATTATAAGTTCCTGATGTATAAACAGATGTTCTGTTCTGTAATTGATACATCAATACATTCCAAGTTGTCTGGTACAGCCATCTCTGACACTAGCTGGCTCTAAATGTCAGTAGGTCATACTGGTGGAAGAACCAAACTTTGTTTCTTTGGCTTGATACTTTGTACAAAACCAAGTCTATGGAGTCTCTGTCACTCACCAAAGTTGAAAATGTTTCCACTTACAATCCTGCACTTGTGATTATGATAGTAACCCTGGTTTCTGAGATATAGCCAAATATCACATCTATAGGGCAAGGACAGAAACTCCTGTAAATAGCTCGATTAAAATCAACTTGGTTGAACTTGAGAATTGGTGGATAAACTCCAGACAATGAGAGAATTATCCATACAAAGTTACGGGTAGGTTAGAGTTAGCCTTGTGGAACTAGAAATTAACTCTTCTCCTTACACAATGTTGAATCCTTGTAGCCCAGAGTTTGTCCCTAACAAACTCAGTCACAACAGAAGTCTAAGAGAAGCTAACGAATAGAGGACAAAACATGGTACTTCATACCAGGTGGTCTAAAAAGTCATTGTCTTACAAATATACATACTGGGCTAACTGTAAACCTATTACTCAACAGCAATACCTACTCTCATAAACCCCTTATATACATACTGGGCTAACTGTAAACCTATTACTCAACAGCAATAACTACTCTCATAAACCCCTTATATACATACTGGGCTAACTGTAAACCTATTACTCAACAGCAATAACTACTCTCATAAACCCCTTATATACATACTGGGCTAACTGTAAACCTATTACTCAACAGCAATAACTACTCTCATAAACCCCTTATATACATACTGGGCTAACTGTAAACCTATTACTCAACAGCAATAACTACTCTCATAAACCCCTTATATACATACTGGGCTAACTGTAAACCTATTACTCAACAGCAATAACTACTCTCATAAACCCCTTATATACATACTGGGCTAACTGTAAACCTATTACTCAACAGCAATAACTACTCTCATAAACCCCTTATATACATACTGGGCTAACTGTAAACCTATTACTCAACAGCAATAACTACTCTCATAAACCCCTTATATACATACTGGGCTAACTGTAAACCTATTACTCAACAGCAATAACTACTCTCATAAACCCCTTATATACATACTGGGCTAACTGTAAACCTATTACTCAACAGCAATAACTACTCTCATAAACCCCTTATATACATACTGGGCTAACTGTAAACCTATTACTCAACAGCAATAACTACTCTCATAAACCCCTTATATACATACTGGGCTAACTGTAAACCTATTACTCAACAGCAATAACTACTCTCATAAACCCCTTATATACATACTGGGCTAACTGTAAACCTATTACTCAACAGCAATAACTACTCTCATAAACCCCTTATATACATACTGGGCTAACTGTAAACCTATTACTCAACAGCAATAACTACTCTCATAAACCCCTTATATACATACTGGGCTAACTGTAAACCTATTACTCAACAGCAATAACTACTCTCATAAACCCCTTATATACATACTGGGCTAACTGTAAACCTATTACTCAACAGCAATAACTACTCTCATAAACCCCTTATATACATACTGGGCTAACTGTAAACCTATTACTCAACAGCAATAACTACTCTCATAAACCCCTTATATACATACTGGGCTAACTGTAAACCTATTACTCAACAGCAATAACTACTCTCATAAACCCCTTATATACATACTGGGCTAACTGTAAACCTATTACTCAACAGCAATAACTACTCTCATAAACCCCTTATATACATACTGGGCTAACTGTAAACCTATTACTCAACAGCAATAACTACTCTCATAAACCCCTTATATACATACTGGGCTAACTGTAAACCTATTACTCAACAGCAATAACTACTCTCATAAACCCCTTATATACATACTGGGCTAACTGTAAACCTATTACTCAACAGCAATAACTACTCTCATAAACCCCTTATATACATACTGGGCTAACTGTAAACCTATTACTCAACAGCAATAACTACTCTCATAAACCCCTTATATACATACTGGGCTAACTGTAAACCTATTACTCAACAGCAATAACTACTCTCATAAACCCCTTATATACATACTGGGCTAACTGTAAACCTATTACTCAACAGCAATAACTACTCTCATAAACCCCTTATATACATACTGGGCTAACTGTAAACCTATTACTCAACAGCAATAACTACTCTCATAAACCCCTTATATACATACTGGGCTAACTGTAAACCTATTACTCAACAGCAATAACTACTCTCATAAACCCCTTATATACATACTGGGCTAACTGTAAACCTATTACTCAACAGCAATAACTACTCTCATAAACCCCTTATATACATACTGGGCTAACTGTAAACCTATTACTCAACAGCAATAACTACTCTCATAAACCCCTTATATACATACTGGGCTAACTGTAAACCTATTACTCAACAGCAATAACTACTCTCATAAACCCCTTATATACATACTGGGCTAACTGTAAACCTATTACTCAACAGCAATAACTACTCTCATAAACCCCTTATATACATACTGGGCTAACTGTAAACCTATTACTCAACAGCAATAACTACTCTCATAAACCCCTTATATACATACTGGGCTAACTGTAAACCTATTACTCAACAGCAATAACTACTCTCATAAACCCCTTATATACATACTGGGCTAACTGTAAACCTATTACTCAACAGCAATAACTACTCTCATAAACCCCTTATATACATACTGGGCTAACTGTAAACCTATTACTCAACAGCAATAACTACTCTCATAAACCCCTTATATACATACTGGGCTAACTGTAAACCTATTACTCAACAGCAATAACTACTCTCATAAACCCCTTATATACATACTGGGCTAACTGTAAACCTATTACTCAACAGCAATAACTACTCTCATAAACCCCTTATATACATACTGGGCTAACTGTAAACCTATTACTCAACAGCAATAACTACTCTCATAAACCCCTTATATACATACTGGGCTAACTGTAAACCTATTACTCAACAGCAATAACTACTCTCATAAACCCCTTATATACATACTGGGCTAACTGTAAACCTATTACTCAACAGCAATAACTACTCTCATAAACCCCTTATATACATACTGGGCTAACTGTAAACCTATTACTCAACAGCAATAACTACTCTCATAAACCCCTTATATACATACTGGGCTAACTGTAAACCTATTACTCAACAGCAATAACTACTCTCATAAACCCCTTATATACATACTGGGCTAACTGTAAACCTATTACTCAACAGCAATAACTACTCTCATAAACCCCTTATATACATACTGGGCTAACTGTAAACCTATTACTCAACAGCAATAACTACTCTCATAAACCCCTTATATACATACTGGGCTAACTGTAAACCTATTACTCAACAGCAATAACTACTCTCATAAACCCCTTATATACATACTGGGCTAACTGTAAACCTATTACTCAACAGCAATAACTACTCTCATAAACCCCTTATATACATACTGGGCTAACTGTAAACCTATTACTCAACAGCAATAACTACTCTCATAAACCCCTTATATACATACTGGGCTAACTGTAAACCTATTACTCAACAGCAATAACTACTCTCATAAACCCCTTATATACATACTGGGCTAACTGTAAACCTATTACTCAACAGCAATAACTACTCTCATAAACCCCTTATATACATACTGGGCTAACTGTAAACCTATTACTCAACAGCAATAACTACTCTCATAAACCCCTTATATACATACTGGGCTAACTGTAAACCTATTACTCAACAGCAATAACTACTCTCATAAACCCCTTATATACATACTGGGCTAACTGTAAACCTATTACTCAACAGCAATAACTACTCTCATAAACCCCTTATATACATACTGGGCTAACTGTAAACCTATTACTCAACAGCAATAACTACTCTCATAAACCCCTTATATACATACTGGGCTAACTGTAAACCTATTACTCAACAGCAATAACTACTCTCATAAACCCCTTATATACATACTGGGCTAACTGTAAACCTATTACTCAACAGCAATAACTACTCTCATAAACCCCTTATATACATACTGGGCTAACTGTAAACCTATTACTCAACAGCAATACCTACTCTCATAAACCCCTTATATACATACTGGGCTAACTGTAAACCTATTACTCAACAGCAATAACTACTCTCATAAACCTCTAATATACATACTGGGCTAACTGTAAACCTATTATCACATACTTACTACTAAATACGTAATTCCCGCCCTATATGATACGACTAAAATCACGTGACTAATATCAGGCCGGCCGGTCGGAAAATGCATATCACGTATCAGACAGGCCGGTCGGAAAATGCATATCAGGATTCGGTCCGGAACACATCTGGAGTTATCGTGCCGTTTCTATGCGTTCGCAGCATACGAGATTCTTGGATAAAATGTCGCGTTCGGCTCAAGGTGAGATGATTATTAACGTAAACAGACAGTTATTCATATTTCTATTGTTGAAATTGTGTTTTTATTTCATTAAAATGTGTTGATCACCAAAGTTACAATTTGTATTGTATTGTTTCTGTGCGATTTCCCAACTGACACACTAAAATTGGCATTTATTCCACTTTTTTTTCTAATTTACATTTTCTATCGATGATCTTTGGTGAACCTCTGAACAATTGCTTGATATTGAAGTTCGTAATTGATAATTGAAAAAAAAAAATCACCCAAAATGTATGTTCAAGTATATGATAAACAGAATAAGCCCTCGGTCTGATATTGGGTCCTCGGGCTGATATGGCATGTGATATAGATTTTACCATGTAATATTCTCTATTTACTCACCAGCAATAACTACTCTCATAAACCTCTTACATAACCATAAAGAATTATTTCTTCTGATTTTTTTCTGTGAACAAACATTTCTTCCAATCTTCTCTATCAAAATAAAAACACAGGATAATGGATAAACCAGAAACAGACCCAAGACTAAAATACTGCAAATGTCTTCTATAAACCATTCTGTGCAGCAACAAGCAGAGGTCTGTGAGTGAGAGATGTTCCCCTCACACAGGCTGTACAAACATGTTATTATCTAGGTGTAATCAATCTGTTACAGGCCTGCACATCCAGGCCATTGATGAAACAGCTTAGACAGATCTAAAAACATGTCGGCACAAATACAGCAGGTCTCCACACTCTACAGTCCATCAAAGAACCTCTGTCCAAAAATTACTGAATTGATTTACACAACCCCATTGTATGATTCTGGTAAATTAAAAAAATATTGAATAAACTGACAGTTCAATTTTTAAGACAAATCATGCATCAGTAAAAACAAAATAGAGAAATACTTGGACATTTAATTAACAGGACAGAAAGTGCCATTTCCTTTAGGAAATAATACGAATGCTGAATAGACGATGCTCATCATTAAAAGTTACAGTCTGTTTATAATTTAAGATGTTCTTGACTGCAAGCATTAGGTTACACTTAATAGAGATGAAGTTATCCTACAACAACTATAAAACAGTTTATCATCATGTATTAAGCACTCTCGTTACCTCTACATATTCGAGACATATACACATGTTTTTTTGCACAGTGTATGTACACCAAACTTTTTATATAAAGCCTTCCTTTAATCGGACACCTTACATTTCAAGTTTTCCATTTCCTTTTTGTCAATTTTTTTTTAAAGTTTTCTCATGATATATTACCCAACACCACTACAAATTAAACCCAACATTTTAATGTTAGCAGTGTTGTACATACATGAAAATATCTGTACTTAAAATTTATTTAACAGAAAAAAAGAAAATTGAAATGTTTAGAAACAACCAAGCAACTGCACGAGAAAATATCCTGTGGATCTCTGCAATTTTTGCATTTTTGCCAAGATGTTTAATATTCTACCTATATGTGTTTTATAAAAGCTTGGAAAGTGAAGTTCCTGGGTTGTGATTGGTTTAGGTACAGAGTACAATTAAGTTACAATATATTATTGTTGTTTTCACTACAGTGGAACCCACTTATTATGATATCGGTTATTATGATATTTTCCCCATGTAATGATTTTTTCTGTACTAGGAACTATTTGTTAAGTTACTTCCTAGAGAAGCAGTACATATATATCACATCTTGCAATGCATTTTACAGAATTATAGTTGTTAGAAATTGGAGAATATGAAAAACAACCAAATACAAAAAACACCACACAACTGCAGGTGTGGAACTGGGAACCTTCCTTCTGCCAAATCTACACTTTACAATGTTGCTGTCCAGAAATTACACAAGCCAAGCAGCGTAATGAGAGATCAACACCTTGACTAAGGTAGTAACTAATAACGAGAGATCAACACCTTGACTAAGGTAGTAACTAATAACGAGAGATCAACACCTTGACTAAGGTAGTAACTAATAACGAGAGATCAACACCTTGACTAAGGTAGTAACTAATAACGAGAGATCAACACCTTGACTAAGGTAGTAACTAATAACGAGAGATCAACACCTTGACTAAGGTAGTAACTAATAACGAGAGATCAACACCTTGACTAAGGTAGTAACTAATAACGAGAGATCAACACCTTGACTAAGGTAGTAACTAATAACGAGAGATCAACACCTTGACTAAGGTAGTAACTAATAACGAGAGATCAACACCTTGACTAAGGTAGTAACTAATAACGAGAGATCAACACCTTGACTAAGGTAGTAACTAATAACGAGAGATCAACACCTTGACTAAGGTAGTAACTAATAACGAGAGATCAACACCTTGACTAAGGTAGTAACTAATAACGAGAGATCAACACCTTGACTAAGGTAGTAACTAATAACGAGAGATCAACACCTTGACTAAGGTAGTAACTAATAACGAGAGATCAACACCTTGACTAAGGTAGTAACTAATAACGAGAGATCAACACCTTGACTAAGGTAGTAACTAATAACGAGAGATCAACACCTTGACTAAGGTAGTAACTAATAACGAGAGATCAACACCTTGACTAAGGTAGTAACTAATAACGAGAGATCAACACCTTGACTAAGGTAGTAACTAATAACGAGAGATCAACACCTTGACTAAGGTAGTAACTAATAACGAGAGATCAACACCTTGACTAAGGTAGTAACTAATAACGAGAGATCAACACCTTGACTAAGGTAGTAACTAATAACGAGAGATCAACACCTTGACTAAGGTAGTAACTAATAACGAGAGATCAACACCTTGACTAAGGTAGTAACTAATAACGAGAGATCAACACCTTGACTAAGGTAGTAACTAATAACGAGAGATCAACACCTTGACTAAGGTAGTAACTAATAACGAGAGATCAACACCTTGACTAAGGTAGTAACTAATAACGAGAGATCAACACCTTGACTAAGGTAGTAACTAATAACGAGAGATCAACACCTTGACTAAGGTAGTAACTAATAACGAGAGATCAACACCTTGACTAAGGTAGTAACTCCAAGTCCTTTCTGTTGCTTTATTGTCTAAATAAAACGTAGAATACCCTCAGTCTACGGCACTTTGAGGAAGCAATAGTTACCTGTCTGCTATTGAAAGTTCTTGGGTAGTACTTTGGGGTGGAGGAATCAATCTTTTATCTGGAACTGGAAAGAAAATAAAAAGTCAAAAGGTTAAAATTATCTGTTTTCTCTTCTCTATTTGGAGTAATTATTTTGCAGAAAAAGCATTCAATACAAATTAATTAACTTTTGAAAATATCCAAATCATTCAGATAATTAAAAAGTATTGTTTGTCTAGATCGCTACTAAAGTTTAACATGGAAATCTGCCTGACAATTAACATATGTATAAAGATACAATTCAGTATTTCCAACACCACCCCAGCAGGTGGGGATCAGAAAAAGAATACTCCTGCTGTTACCCACCACATGTATCATAGGAGGTGACTAATGTCGAACCCCGTGCAGAACACACAAAAGCGACCAAAATCAATCTGCTGCACCCATTGCAATATTTGGGATCTTTATCTTTCTTTCTACTTCTAACTACCTTTTATTTCCTAGTGCCTTGCTTGGCAACACCTCAGTTTTGGCTTGATTGTTGAGTATTCGCCCACGTGAAGAAGGCAATGGGTTCTATCCCCAGGCCGGGACATACCAAAGTCCTTCAAAATGGTGGTTTTTATTCCCTGCTTAACATTCAGCATTTAGGGATATGGCAACAACTGGTTCACCCATGTCAGTATAATGTGACCAGGCGGAATGCTATGCTGGGTACCTTCGGCATGGTATTTCAGTGAGATAGCACTAAAAAGTCGGCATCAGATCCGTGCTATCACGAGAAGGCAAGCACACCAACATACCCTGTCTCCTGCATACACAAACGCAAGCACACATACACTAAACACATGGAGGTACGTCCTTAAATGACCTTAGCTGTTAATAGGACGTTAAACAAAATTAAACCAAACCAAAACCAAAACCAAATTTCCAACACAGTTTTCAGTGAAATGCTGGAAGACTTTAGCTCTATCACCATAAACATGTGCTGTGTCTCCTAGAACAACACGTTATGTAGAAAATATACCTGCCCGAGGGATACACAGAACTGAAATTAATTACCAAGGACAGATTATGGATATTCCATCTTAATTTTTAATCTAACCCAAGACTATACATTCACCTCCTCTGGTTAAATACCTCTTGACAAAACTAATCAGCAAGGAAGAATTTTGATTTAAATCAATAGACAGAACAGAAAGAAAAAATAACAAGCAAAATCATCTTCACATTTTAATCTTTTTTAAGAAGAAGGACATATTTGAGGAATATTGATCTTGGTCATCTATTAATTGATTCAATAAATTGAACATATTTATCTTATAATTAGAAAGATGGAAGAATTTGAGGATGCTATTTAGTAGAAAAATATCTTGAAATCTGATTATGAAGCCTTTGGTGGGAAGAAAGTAATCTATTCTAAATGATATTGATCTAGGTCATCTAGATGCTTAATATGACACAAGAGGCCCATGGGCCTTAACGGTCACCTGATATATTTATACAGAGAGTTGATTTTTGTTTTTAACATGAACAGAAATATTATTCAAAGTGACAAAAAAAACTCCCCACCTTATTCAATATCTAGCATGCAGATTTAAGACTGAAAAGTATTTGAAACTAGCACCTCTGATTCTAAACAAGGAAAATGAATAAATTTTATTTTAGCACACAGACTCCATTGGGCCCCACCCTACAGCCCTTGGGGGTAGGGATGGCTCAACATTTTCAAAGTATCAAACTGTCAACTTAGGGTTATAATTCCAATCACGTTATCAACATGTAATATTCAAAGTATCATTTGCCATTATAAACCGTAATAAATTTTGTCCCCCCCTCCTTCCCCAGGGGTAAACGTGAGACCCTAGGGTCATAAAATTCACAATTTTGGTAGAGCACCTAAAAACCCTTCTATCTATGAAGAGTATTTGATTCTACCAAATCTGGTCTGGAGAAGAAGATTTTGAAATTTCAGTCAATTCCGCCCTTTTTTGCCCCACCCATTAGCCCCTGAGGGTCAGTCAGGGCTGATATGTGCATACCATCAAACTGCTATCCAATACTGATAATGCTAACCCAAATTGAATTACTTCCAATGGAAATTAAACAAATGTTGGTCCAAAATGTGATTTCCCTATATAAACTATAGTAAATTTTACCCCCTCCCCAGGGGGAAACGTGAGACCCAGGGTCATGAAATTCACAATTTTGGTAAAGCACCTCAAGACCCTTCCATCTATGAAGAGTATTTGATTCTACCATATCTGGATCTTGAGAAGAAGATTTTTGAAATTTTAGTCAATTTTACCCTTTTTGGCCCCGCCCCTCAGGCCCCTGGGACTTTGTCTCAGGTGACCTAAAAATGCAAAGAAATTGGATAACTTATTTTTTTCTTTAACTAGGTAACATAATTAACAGTATAGTAGTAAGGATGAATACCTTGATTTTATAGCCATTAGCATTAAAAGATAAATCAGATGAAAAATTATCTCAGCAAAATACCAGATCTACAGTCTTTTCAACTCATGCAAAATGGCCATCAGAGTCAAGACAGATCGATCCCTGTCAGCCTGATGCTTGATCTCACTCTAATATGCTTCGCAATGAAAGGATCTATCACTTACAAATTTACCAAGCATGCAATGGAAACAGGCGAAAAGGGTTTCAACTGCCAATTGCAGTAGCCGGTGATTTGGTGGGGCAGACATATCTATTGCAGGAAAACCTAGCAAGACATCTACTGGTAAAGAGCTTCCCAGGTCAATAACATGAATAAGTCATCCGTCAGGACCAATCCCCAAACCAAGCACACGTCAGTCACTCCAAGATGACAACTAATACATCTACTGGTAGAGAGCTACCCAGGTCAATAACATGAATAAGTCATCCGTCAGGACGAATCCCCAAACCAAGCACACGTCAGTCACTCCAAGGTGACAACTAATACATCTACTGGTAAACAAATAAACCAAGGAACTTCTTTTAAATGTAACCTTTTAGTCAAAGGGAATTTTCTTAACTTGCATTTACAGGTGTATGATATTCCTGACAAGGTAATACAGGTATACATAGATTTTTGTTGCCATTGTATAACAATGTTACAACATAACTCTATAAAAAAAACTCATGGCTTTCATACCAGTTATGAATGCCATGGTGGAATTGCTGTCATCAATATTCTGATATCATAATGGTAACAATTGATACCCTTCATAGAAGATGGCTGTTCTCTTAGGGTAAATGAAATAAAGGCTGGACACCAGAAGATGGCTGTTCTCTTAGGGGAAAGGAAATAAAGGCAGCTGGACACCAGAAGATGGCTGTTCTCTTAGGGTAAAGGAAATTAAGGCTGAGCACCAGAAGATGGCTGTTCTCTTAGGGTAAAGGAAATAAAGGCAGCTGGACACCAGAAGATGGCTGTAATTCTCTTAGGGTAAAGGAAATAAAGGCTGAGCACCAGAAGATGGCTGTTCTCTTAGGGGAAAGGAAATAAAGGCAGCTGGACACCAGAAGATGGCTGTTCTCTTAGGGTAAAGCAAATTAAGGCTGAACACCAGAAGATGGCTGTTCTCTTAGGGTTAAGGAAATAAAGGCAGCTGGACACCAGAAGATGGCTGTTCTCTTAGGGGAAAGGAAATAAAAGCTGAGCACTGTTAATTCTGTATTCCTTTGAATCAAGAATGAACCCTTTTTTGTGTAAAGAATGGTTAGCTACTGAACAATACACAGTAATGATGCTTACAAGACCAAGGCGTTTGTGTCTGTAGTGTAACTGTAAGCTCTAACCATACTAGACAGCTGGCACAGGTACAATGATTAGTTTATTGAAATTGTCTGATCACTGAAGCTGTGTAATTAAACCATGTTTATTAAAGACAACAGCTTGAACAGGCAGGATGTCGTTTTAGACTCAAATATCTCACCTTCACTTACCCTATAAGGCTAGGGGGATTCCCATTTTTAGTTTGTCACAAAATCATTGATCTTAAATCAGGTATTCTACACCTTGACATTCCTACCAGTTCACCTTGCCCTTGTGAGAAAAGCATGAATACGATGGAAAAGCCGAGACAGCTTAAGTTCTGCAGCTCTCCATATATGGTTTCAGATGCTTTCTATGGTTGATATGCATAACCCATGTAAGGAGCTGTCTAAAAGTACCAGAGCCTGTTTCTTTCTAATCTGTTATCAGTGTGCAATAAATGTTTTCATTTTATTTGCCAATTCTATGCTAAGTGTAGATTCCATCTGTCAGATTTTAAAACTGAGTCTTTTTAGGCTATTTTCATCACCTAAATTTCAGTTTCTAGCATTAGTTCTTTAAACAGCTTCAGTAAATTTCACCTTTAACCCTTTCACTCCTATGTAACTTTAGTAGACTCTACCATGCATTGATATGCATGAGTCTATTATGGTCTACAGTGGTGAAAGGGTTAACAAAGCTAACGTTTACTGCATCAAAATAGGTCCAGCAAATCTAGTGTTTTTAAACATATTCCCAAGTATGACACCACTGTCCTGTATTTATTAGGTCTATTAAGGTATCTTTGTCAGGGAGGTACGATTCCACCAGTCATGCAGACACCCCAAGATAGAAGATTTTATACATGAGCTAGTGAAAACTTTCAATATTTTCTATGAAAATAGGAGTCGGCTTAAAATTAACCTGTGTCTGGCTAGTATTCTAAATGTGAAATTGTACACCGCTGCTTGCATCACTCAGTTTCAGTTCAGTTTCTTTATTTCTGAGAGCCATCCAACTCATAGGTTAAATGTCAAACAATTACAGCATGTAGTCACTGTACTGCCTAAATCTCAGAGAAGGAATTCATTTTAATGTGGTCAAGTTTATGGTGTGTTAAATGAATTGGGTCTTAACAAAATCAACATGGTGGTTCAAGTTGAATTTGTGTCAAATTCATACTGAATTCAATCATCCATGAACTTGGTCACCTGGAGTTTCAACCATCATATTTCTATTACATTCAATGTACTAATGAATATTGAAATGAACTGAAAACCTAGAAGTAATAACAGCCCAAATCAGTGATTGTGACTATATATATATTACATAGCTTACACTACATTGTTATATTGTGGTATATCCTACTGAAGTTAGTATTCAGTCCAGTGACATTTATTATTGTCATCAAGTCCAACAGCAGTACATATAGAAATACACAGCAGAAGGATACACATAGAAATACACAGCAGAAGGATACAGATAGAAATACACAGCAGAAGGATACATATAGAAATACACAGCAGAAGGAAGTTCTCCTAGTACAGTATACGGCTGTGATCGACAACAACAAGTTACCATATACACCTCAGGTGGAGTTATTTAACAGATTTTTCATACATATAAGTATGTTTCATTCTCTGACTTAAACAGTTAAAGCTGGAAGAGCATACATCTGTGATACCTTATAATAGCCGTAAGCAAAGTGACCTAATTTGAGATATTGATGTTTGTAAAGGCTTGCTATACATGGACTAGCTCACGGAAATCCTGTTTTTTATCCATTGATGTTTTGAAGTGATTGGTGGAGTCTGAAGTAATGGAGAATCAATATGTAGAAGATATACCGTTTAATTAGTTTTGTTTAAATGGCAGAGGTCCCTGATCACGAAAACACACATTACAAGTGAAATAAGGTCAAGTCAGTGGGAAAAAGCCACATCAACAACCATCAGTGAGAAAGTGACGTAAATGTATAGAAATAAACAAGTACACAGTGTTAGAGACGTATATAGGGATTTAACAGAACTTCTCCTCATCAACATGGTGAATGTACATGTATCTTACAGGAAAATTCTACCCAAATATGTTTATGTAATTTATGTGTTAATGGCAACAAAATGTGTTTCAGTAAAATTTTGTGCAAGAGATGAAAAGAATAAAACTTTCTTAAGCTTGTTTTCCTACATCAGTAAGAGAGAGAGACAAAGAGAGACAGAGAGGGAGAGGGAGAGGGAGAGATACTCAAATTACAGAGAGAGGGAGGGAGAGATATTCAAATTACAGAGAGATGGAGAGATACTCATATTACAGAAGTTTTAGATCAGTAATAATGTTTTCCTCTGGAAATTCTGGGTAAAGTCAGTTTCATACATTAAAGAGAACCTTTCCCTAACATTTTCTACAACTTGAAAAAAATTGTTAGAAAAATTTAACTTAGGTCACTTACCTTGACAAACTTATTTAGCTTTAACTCTCTAAAGCTCACTAAATTGATCTAATTCTGAAGTTATTTCTTAATCAAATATTTTATAATGTATTTGAGATCATGTACAAAACTATATAAATACACTCACCAATATCATTCTGGTTCTGTCTTGTGAACTTGGGCAATGGAACATCTTTTCCTGGAAAACAGAAAACTCCATGTAAGTATTTGATGTAACTTATAGGACACAAGGAAGCATGCACAGTTTCCGATATAGGCTTCCTGCAATAGCAATGTTTCTTTCCGTTTTCTGTTTGATGTTAAGTGTGTATACAAACAATACACTTGTAACATCACTTCCTGTGTCGGAGGTCTACCTCCATCATTCTTGTGATCAGTACCCCATATAATATTTGCCAACAACATTCTATAGTGTTACATATATAGCGTATGAAAATGGTGTCTTTAACCTATGAAAATCCAAGAGGAATTTCTCCTAAAATGAAATGTGAACTGACTTACTGAATCTGCTCCTATTTAAACTGAGCTTGCCTGATTGAATTTGTTCCTATTTGCAAGAAGCACCTATTTCAAGATTGTGTTTATCAAGAGGGTGGGTTTAATACCAATCACTGGTAATATACAGCTTACCTATCTAACAAAACCACTTGCAAGTAGATATATTAAAACCTGTCTAACCTAGGAAATATTTGTACTTACAGTAATGCCCTGTAATCAGGCCGAAATGGAAAAGTTAGCAAAACAGGGCTTTTCTGTGAAAAAACGGTAAAAAAACTAATATAAATCTGGTGTTTTGCCTTGCAGGAGAAGAAGGTCCATACTCCCATAAAATTCTTAGTCACAAGAGTGTTTGTTTGGTAAAGTGGACAGACACAGGTAATTTGATATAGCAGCCCGGACATATCCTCACTGTATGTTACATGCAATTTTCATACAAAGGATAGAAAATCATGCTAGCATGTAGACAGTTAAAAGGGGAGATAACTGCATTACTGTAAACCATTAACTGTACAGAAATCTAGTTAAACAAAAATCAATGGTAATACCTGCCAACACAGCCATGATAATGTCAGGGGTTCACATTAGTATGGGTAATAATCCTTGTTGTTGGTTGTTTACTCCGACACACAAAGTAACAAACCTTGTTCTGTAGTTGTTAAAAAAGCAAATATTTAGGGAATAATACAAATTCCTCCTGGAACTCCCTGAAGCCTTCCATGTTATTTAATGACTCCTGGAACTCCCTAAAGCCTTCCATGATATCTAATGACTCCTGGAACTCCCTAAAGCCTTTCATGTTATCTAATGACTCCTGGAACTCCCTACAGCCTTCCATGTTATTCAATGACTCCTGGAACTCCCTAAAGCCTTCCATGTTATTTAATGTCTCCTGGAACTCCCTAAAGCCTTCCATGTTATCTGATGACTCCTGGAACTCCCTAAAGCCTTCCATGTTATTCAATGACTCCTGGAACTCCCTAAAGCCTTCCATGTTCTCTAATGACTCCTGGACATCCATAAAGCCTTCCATGTTATCTAATGACTCCTGGAACTCCTTTAAGCCTTCCATGTTCTCTAATGACTCCTGGACATCCCTAAAGCCTTCCATGTTATCTAATGACTCCCGGAACTCCTTAAAGCCTTCCATGTTCTCTAATGACTCCTGGAACTCCTTAAAGCCTTCCACGTTCTCTAATGACTCCTGGACATCCCTAAAGCCTTCCATGTTATCTAATGACTCGGGAACTCCTTAAAGCCTTCCATGTTCTCTAATGACTCCTGGACATCCATAAAGCCTTCCATGTTATCTAATGACTCCTGGAACTCCTTTAAGCCTTCCATGTTCTCTAATGACTCCTGGACATCCCTAAAGCCTTCCATGTTATCTAATGACTCTGGAACTCCTTAAAGCCTTCCATGTTATCTAATGACTCCTGTAACTCCCTAAAGCCTTCCATGTTATTTAATGACTCCTGTAACTCCCTAAAGCCTTCCATGTTATCTGATGACTCCTGGAACTCCCTAAAGCCTTCCATGATATCTAATGACTCCTGGAACTCCCTAAAGCCTTCCATGTTCTCTAATGACTCCTGGACATCCATAAAGCCTTCCATGTTATCTAATGACTCCTGCAACTCCCTAAAGCCTTCCATGTTATCTGATGACTCCTGGAACTCCCTAAAGCCTTCCATGTTCTCTAATGACTCCTGGAACTCCTTAAAGCCTTCCGTGTTCTCTAATGACTCCTGGACATCCCTAAAGCCTTCCATGTTATCTAATGACTCGGGAACTCCTTAAAGCCTTCCATGTTCTCTAATGACTCCTGGAACTCCTTAAAGCCTTCGATGTTCTCTAATGACTCCTGGACATCCCTAAAGCCTTCCATGTTATCTAATGACTCGGGAACTCCTTAAAGCCTTCCATGTTCTCTAATGCCTCCTGGACATCCCTAAAGCCTTCCATGTTATCTAATGACTCTGGAACTCCTTAAAGCCTTCCATGTTATCTAATGACTCCTGTAACTCCCTAAAGCCTTCCATGTTATCTAATGACTCCTAGAACTCCTTAAAGCCTTCCATGTTCTCTAATGACTCCTGGAACTCCTTAAAGCCTTCCATGTTATCTAATGACTCCTGGAACTCCCTAAAGCCTTCCATGTTATCTAATGACTCCTGTAACTCCCTAAAGCCTTCCATGTTATCTGATGACTCCTGGAACTCCCTAAAGCCTTCCATGTTATTTAATGACTCCTGGAACTCCCTAAAGCCTTCCATGTTATCTAATGACTCTGGAACTCCTTAAAGCCTTCCATGTTATCTAATGACTCCTGTAACTCCCTAAAGCCTTCCATGTTATTTAATGACTCCTGGAACTCCCTAAAGCCTTCCATGTTATTCAATGACTCCTGGAACTCCCTAAAGCCTTCCATGTTATTCAATGACTCCTGGAACTCCCTAAAGCCTTCCATGTTATTTATTGACTCCTGGAACTCCCTAAAGCCTTCCATGTTATCTAATGACTATGACTTTACATCAACCCATTTTGATTAACTGACAGGCAATCCTAATGACAGACAAAACAAACATGACATCCACATCACCTAGGTGACCACATGTGACATCCACATCCCCTAAGTGACCAGGTGTGACATCCACATCACCTAGGTGACCACATGTGACATCCTCATCCCCTAGGTGACCAGGTATGACATCCACATCCCCAAAGTGACCAGGTGTGACATCCACATCCCCTAGGTGACCAGGTGTGACATCCACATCCCTTAGGTGACAAGGTGTGACATTCACACATCCCCCTAGGTGACCAGGTGTGACATCCACACATCCCCCTAGGTGACCAGGTGTGACATCCACACATCCTCCTAGATGACCAGGTGTGACATCCACATCTCCCTAGGTGACCAGGTGTGACATCCACATCCCCCTAGGTGACCAGGTGTGACTTTGAGATTCAGTACAGACTTGGAGATAAATCAAGTCTGTCATTTATCATTAGGTTTTCTCCTTAAACATTTGTACAGATTGTGTTTGTAAACCTATCAACCCTTGTAGTTGTAATAATAGACAATTTCTAGCTACAAACGATTTAGATATAATAATAATATAGCAGGTATATGTGGGTCAACACGTCTACAGAACTGACAGAGACCCAGCTGCAGATGGTAAGGATATAACTACGTAATCGTATAGATACAAACCAGAAATACAGATGATCAAAGTGATTTTACTTAAGTTGGTTTATTGCTAATACCAAATATTTCATAAATAGTAAGAATTTGTCAGGTATACAATACCTGTATTCTGTATCTGAATTAATTTAGTTAGATGTGATTTGAGCTAGAATTTTGATTTATTTTAAAAGTACCCTGTTCTGGGCTTAATATAGTGTTACCTTGCTTACTGTTCTTTAGGATAGTTTCATCTTGTATGGTGTTTGGTTGGACATTGATTCTGAGGACTACTTTAATTGACTCTTTCTTATTGCATTCACCATTTCATTAGTTAGGGATATAAAAACTATCATATGATTTATTATGTTACATTTTCAGCCAACATTTCAGCGCCTTACTTAATTTACTTGTTCTGGACTTTTTCTGAATATCTTAATTTAAATTACCATATTCCTTCAGTTTTTCAAAACAAAGATATGTACACATGTATTTACACTTCTGCACATACCAAAGTTTATATCTATCAAGGGGGAGATAATAAAAGTTTATAATAATCAAGGGGAGATAATCAAAGTTTAAATTAATCAAGGGGAAATAATCATAACTATTAGGTTCCAGTCTTTACTGAACAGACTTCACCTGACAACATGGTATAACATAGACAGGAATTATATTCTATGATTTTATTATATTATTACCTCCTTGTTTCCTACCCTATACACATTATGGGTAACCATTAACAGAACTTTGTGTCAAAAGAGATATTCAATCTTGGGTGATACGAATTGATGAATGGCTATATAAGTCAGACGTTTATCATTCTGTTTGACTTGAACATATGAATGCATTGTCTGTAAAGAAAAATGTACAGGACAATGACAGTTTTGTAGCCTTAGTGAGACACAGTCAGACATGATCAGATATTATCAGCCTCCATAAACGCTTTTACTCTAAATCTCCATTCAACCATTTCTAATTCCATGACAAAAATGACAAATTTGTCTGTCATTGGTCTAGACAATTTGTCTTCTTTGATGGTATTAAAAAACCTTTCTTCCAAATAGAGGACCCTGGTGTCGGTGAGAAATGAAAGAAAACATTTCATTACATTTTCACATATTTATCATGAGGTGTCTTTTTAGACTAAGCTGGTTAGCCTGTTGTCTGACGTCTGGAAGGGATACGGTGTCACACCTCCATGTCCAGGTTATCACATGTCAGGGTGATGACACTTTAGAATGTTCCTGACGTGGCGCACTACCACTGAGCAACATTGTCATTATGATATTAGCTGATGTTCATATGTTAATACTCAAAACAAAACAATGGCGCCAGGAAAAATGGAGGCAAGGTCAATCCAGCACAGTAGACAGACAAAAACCAATCTCCTGGAACCAGCCTGCATACCCTGACAGGAGGAACAGCCACACAAATATACCCATTATATTGGTTTGTTTTTCTAATTTTCCCAAGTACACAGAACATTTCTGCAAGTAGAAAGCACTAACCGCACTAATAAAATCAAGCTTTAAACATCAAATCTTCATATAACAGGAAATATGTAATGCAGCTCTCAGAAGGAGTTGTTATGTAAAGTGTTTAATTATATATATCTGGGAGACTGAACGAGTGGGGAGCCACTGTCTAGTTCCTCCTGTACAATTATTCCTTGTTTGCAGCCCTATGTTTACCATAATCACCTCACTTCAGCACCAGATTACACTTCTTCACAAGCTGTCTGCTAGCCCTAGCTAATTACAGTAGACATCCACATAAGCACCCGATGACTTAACTTTGATGGAATCTTGGAACATATTTTTTGTGTTTACATATTTGCAGTTACAAGAAAAATTTTGTTTGCGTAATTTATTTTCTGATTGGCAATTGACTCAAATATTTTGGTTCCTTTATAAATATTATCCAGAATTAGTTTTATGATCGCCATATTTAAATATCTTCTTCATGGCTTCTAAAGCCACAAATGCCACATAAACATTGAACTTTGATAAGTGCTGTGTGTATATATAGGTGGGGGAATTGAAGTACCAGTTGCCAGTCTGTATATAATTTGTAATATAGAATAGGTTCTGTTTGCTCTCCTTATTCTCACCTGTCCTAGTGTAAACTTCCAACAACAAGGCCTCTGTCACAGGTATAAGTGGGTCTAAGGGTTTAGGATACCAGCAGTGTTAAAAGATATCGGACTCTGCATCCCGTGACTCAGGAATATTTACCAACTAGAGGGTGATAGGGGCTGTCAGATATTGTATTATAATGGATATGACATTTCTACACCAAGTTCATTGCTCTGAACTAGTGTCAGTAATACAGCTAATAGACATTACAATATATAGCATGTCTCTGTGTGTGTACATTGTATAGACAATACAGACATTACAATATATAGCATGTGTCTGTGTGTGTACATTGTATAGACAATACAGACATTACACTATATAGCATGTCTCTGTGTGTGTACATTGTATAGACAATACAGACATTACACTATAAAGCATGTCTCTGTGTGTGTACATTGTATAGATAATACAGACATTACACTATATAGCATGTCTCTGTGTGTGTACATTGTATAGCCAATACAGACATTACAATATATAGCATGTCTCTGTGTGTGTACATTGTATAG